GAAAATCTAATGTCGAGAATAAAAAATTAAGCTTAAAGTTACTTGAAATCAAAGATCTTAGTCTCTTTTAAATTATAATGCTCAGATGCATCTGAAATTGCTCTAACTCACAACCAATGCTTGTAATGGGAAAAAAATGTGTGATTTTGAGCCAGGCTGCTACATCCTGTGTGCTGTGGAGGACACACCCAGGCAGGTCTCTGGGTCTGTCTGATTTTTTTTCTGGCGAGAATGGTTCCCTGCCCTGGGAGTAATGGTCCTTCAGGTCCCAAATACCTGTGTGTGGTTCCCCCTTCCTAAGAACTGGAAATGGCAGCGACAATGCAAGCAGTGCCTGGTAGAGAAGACTCCTGAGCCCCCTTCAGTGCAGTGCTAAGGAAAAAAGTCAAAGAGCCAACGCGCTGCCGAAAGGAGCCTTAGAAACGTCCTGTTCATAATACGAACCCGAAAGCTTGCTAGGCAATGGCCAAGTCCGGGTCTGCATGGCCCTCTGCTGCCTTCCCCACACGCTAAGCCAGCAGCGAGCCCTTGGTGCAGGCTAGTGGGCAGAGGGCACTGGCCTGGTCACAGCGCCAGCTCACGTTATCCAGCTAGGGTGTTACCGGTCACTGGATCCTCTCCATTGTGCTGGTTTACTACGTTTGGTGAGCGACGCTGGATGTTTTGTAAGCAGATACCCATAGCTAATTATATATATATTTATATATTTTTTTAATCAGAGAGATAAGTTAACAATGTGGTTCAGGAAGCTTCCCCATGAACAAAGGGCTTTATGACATAAGTGCCACTGACTTCAGACATCCTGTGACTTTTGGTTGAAATTGCTCATGCTACATTTGTTGTTGTATTGGATTTTAAGGGTTTATTTTCTCTGACCATCCTGCACCCATGAAGGAGAATAACTAGAAATCTTACCATCCTTAACCCTAGCAATAGAAATGTTCTCCATCCTGATAAATGGTCTCCATCCCACTCCATGGTACTACTCTTCAGAACATTATTTGTGTTGTGTGAAAAGCCCAATAAATGTAGCTCCTGCATTAATTAGCTAAAGCCTTTATGTTGAGGCATTATACAAAGAAAAGATAAAAGACATGTTTTTGTGCCAACTGATTTTGGCACAAAGCAAATTATTTTTCTTAAAATTTGTGTATGGCTGGCACAAAGGAAGAGATTTCACATTACAGACATGGTGACATTACCACAAAGAAAATGCAAATTTTTATGATACAAAGCAGAAAAGGAGTATTCCCAAGCGCTTAAGCGATCTCAGATCCCACCTGACAATTATTTGGCATGTGATTTATTCTCAGGAATAGACTATTGACTATACCAAGCTATATCCCCCCAAAGGCAGATCCTTGTCTCCAAACAGGAATTCTCACAACGGTCTCGAGCACACCACCTCCTCACCCTCTGAAGGAATCCTCCTCCTGCCCCATGGCATGTTGTGTGTCTGGGTCCCTGGAGCAAATGACAACAATGCCCCAAGACCATAAACCAGAATCAGACATTTCTCAAAGTGGACATTTCTCTAAGCCCACATGGGCTTAGAAGCTCCATAGGGAAACAAGATAAAGAATATAGACAGCAGGGCCTCCCCTGGTGGCGCAGCCATCGAGCACTGGGCTGTGAAGCTGCCTGCGGCCTCAGCAGCGCTGGTTTGATCCCCAGCTGCCGGCGAGGGTCCCACATGGCATGACAGACCTCTCCTGCCATGCCTACTGCTTCCATCAGCAGTGTATTCCATCAGTCTGCCTAATCTGCTCCCCACTCTGGCTTTGGTGAGTTCTCTCACCCTCCTGCACTTCTGACTGTACCCAATGCTTGTATGAATAAATAAATAAATAAATCTTAAAAAAAAAAATATAGACAGCATATATATTTTAAGTGACCCTTTTATTTCAGGGTGGTGGGGGGAAGACAAGCATTTACAACTTGAGGTAGATGGGAATTGCTTAAACAACCATATTGATGACTGTGCTGAAGTCCACAGCCATGGTCCAATCTGCTGGCTCCAGGTCAGCCCGCCATCAAAATCCTTGAGTGTTCTGTATCCTGGAAAGATAATTGCAGTCTCCTCCTGTCTGCCCAGCCTAACCATCACCCTTCTCCTGGCCTCCCTCTCACCTACCCGCCAGCAACACCCAAGAACATTTGCTGGGCTTCTTGCTCCATTCATGCCTTCACCTCAGCCCAAAAGGCCCTCCTCTGGCCCCTTCTCATCTTTTAAAACTCAACTCAGTGTACTGCTTCCTGGAAGTCTCCCAAACCCTCCCCACAAACATGACTGGCATTGTGGAGGCTCAGGGCTGGCCTCATACTTGGGAGAACACAGAAGAGGGAGAGAGAGGGATTCACGTTGCCAAGTGTGGTCAAGATAATCAGATATGTGGGGAAGGGGTGGGGCAGGTTTGAGTTCCCTGGATCCACACAACCAGGCCTTGTGTGTGTGGCCAGCCATGGGCAAATGAGAGCTCTGGGCACTTCCCCTGGTGCTTGTCAAACTTTCATAAATAGGCACCAGAATGAATTATCACAAAAGCCAGCATGGATGACCGTGAGAAGAGCAGCTTCAAGAGGGCATGGACTCCCCGTCTGGAACCATTGGGTTCATGCCTGTGAAAGCCTCAGATCCTCCAGTAGGAGGTAGACTAGGAGAAGTCGGCACCCTGTGGAGGGACCTGACATCAGTGTCCCGACCCGCGGGATTCGGAGGCACGAAAAGAGAAGGGCTGAGGATTGAAATGTGGGGCTTGACAACTTGCCGCTAGTGTTTGCTTCTTTATTTTTCCTTTATCCTTTTCTTTTACTTTTCCATGTCTTTCTTTTCCCTGTCTTTCTTACTTCCCTGGCCTTCTCTCTGCTCCTCTCGCAGTACTCTCCTCTCTCATGGTTCTCCTCTTAAATCTCTTTTTCTTCTCCTCTCTCTCCCGCGTTCTCCTCTTATACCCTCGTAGCTCCTCCCCCCGTACCTCCCAGTCTCATGTGCTTTACAGGAAAAACCTGTGGTTCTCCGAAGGCGAAACAGTAAAGCGAACTCATGGCACGCATATGCAACACGGCACATACTCCGGACGGCTCCGGACACATCAGCACAGGAGAAACAGCAGGAGCTGGGAATGCGGTGAGCCTCAAGACGCCCAGGCATGGCGATCCCTGCCTGGCTGGGATTCTCCCCTGACTGGGAAGGATGCCTAAGAAACATCATTTCCAAGTAGAAAAGCCAGCGTGGATGGGTTCACCTGCCCAGTCACAGCTCCTGGAGGAGCTGTTCTTAGACTCAGACTTGGCTTGAGTCCAGGTGGCTCCCCACTGACAGGTGAGCAGAGTTTCTTGGTCTTGGAGGGATCATCCTATCCCCATTTTCCAAATGAGAAAACAGAGACTCAGGAAGAATCAATAATGTGCATCGGGTCATGCAAGACTGGACCTGTCTGACCTCCAAGCCCATGTTCTGAATCGCTTCCATATGCTGGCCTTGCTGGGGACCCAGAGAACTCTGTTAGGAAACATTATTCCAAGACATATTCTAAAATGTTGAATGGCCAGTGTGTGCAAGGTCACGAGTTTTGAAGACTGCATCCTTTAGAGTTGTGCCTCGGGCAGAAAGGACAACAGAAGCAAAGGCAATGGAAAATAATCTTACCAGAAGCCGAGCAAGCTCAATCAGTGGGTTGGAATGGCTGCACTGAAATGGAGATTCACAGGGGTCTAGGAAGGTCAGGACCCGCAGGCAGGAGATAAACTAGTTACAGAACAATTCACCTTGTTCACGGAGCTGAAGTGCCCTGTAACTAGCCAATTTCAGCCAAGTCCACATTTCTCCAGCTAAGCCCACTCCATTTAACAACTTTGTTCTCAATTTGGAGAATCTGATGAGGCCCACAGAACCCCCCCCCCGAACCCCCTTCTCAGAACACTGATCTTAAATCCATAAGATAAAATACCGGGACTGCAAAGAAAACCAATGATCCTGAAATAGGTGTCAAAACAGGTTTATAAATCTTTCCTATAATGACACAGGTGCTTCCTAACAACTAAATAACAATATCCAGCGGCAGGTCTATAAGTACCATTATTTCAAAGTAGTGACAAACATAAATGATATTTTGAGATCTCCCCACCAGCTTAGTGTGCTATGAAAGTATCTGTGGCTTCTGCTAGAGACAAACAACAGACTCTTTGTCTACATTCATAATAGAGGGAAATACTAAAGTGCAGTTAAAGGCTAATGGAGATGTAAGGTCCGTCCTTCTCACAGACCCACAAGATTCTACCCATGACTTAAGAGTGGAGGGGATCCCAGATTAGGGCTCCTCACTCTGAATGCCTGGGTGGCCTCCCAGAGGGTCAACTTGAATCTCCAGGTAAGGTTTGCAAAGCGGTGAAACCTGCTTTTTGAAGCAGGGTGTGAACAGGGACCAGAGCAGGGGCAGTTCATCCAAGCTGGCTCAGGACATGGTATGCAGCATCCCAGGGCCCTGCTCAGTCCTACTGACTCAAATGCCCAGCGTTAGTCCTGAGAATCTGCATTTTAAGCAGAGTCCACGTGACAACTCTCATAAACATCCTAGAACTCTCCTGGTACCTGTCGCAGGCAGGGACTCGAAAGAAGGTGAAGGGCCTGGGATGCCCACACACCTCCCTTGGATCACTACCAGGAGATGAGCCGCACTCCCGGCCCCTCCAGGGCCTCTCCGAGTAAGTGATGCCTGAAACGTGAGGCCACGCCGCCTCTTCACCAGGAAACCGGAGCAGAGGAGTGTGAGGCAGGATTGAAGGACTGGGGACTCGCCACCTTGCCTCCTTCCCTACCTCTCTCCCGAACTTTACCACCTCTACCTCGAACCTCAAACGATCCAAGGAGCTTTGGCTGCCTCTGGGGCCCTGGAGGGAAGCCAGGCACCATGATGGCCGCAGAGCACCGCAGGCTGAAGGTGTACGTGGGCCAGCAAGCGTCCTGAGCCTGGGTGGGGCCCAGGGGAGCCCAGCTGACTATGAGCCACCAACCAAAGGGTCTGAGGGAAGAAGGTAAGTCCATCCCGGTCTCCGTGGGGACCACCCACAGGGGTTCCCTGGCAGCAGCAAGACACAGGGCCTGGCTTTGCATCCACAGCTCACCACTGGCTCACTGAGCAACCTCAATCTGTTTATCCAACCTCTCCCTGCCTCATCCACGAGACCAAGGCAGCCATCACCGACTCTCTGTGCCATTGGAGGGATCATCGACTGACCACACAGCAAAATACAAGCCTGGGGGGACTTTAAGCAACAGGGAGTGTCAGCATCCAGCAGAGCCCAGCAGGGTCTTTCAGCTTCTTGCTGTCTTAGAATCACCTTTCCTTAGCAATACCCTTGATTAAGAGGGGAAGTCTGTCTGTCTGTCTGTCTGTGTCTGTCTGTCTAGGGCAGAGGGCTGTGGGGATTTTCTGACCTCATGACTGTTCTAGGTAAGAGGGAAGTGTCAGGACCTGGGCCTCTGGCACCCCAGCATGATCCAGTCTGACCCAGCTATAAACCCGCTGAGGGGGTCCCACATTGAAATGGGGGTGGTGTAGGGAGGACTTTGCAAATGGCCACTGTTCATTCTATTCCATCTCTTTCAGCAGGAGGTGGAGTGAGAGGGCGCATGCGGAGTGGCTCTCCAGGCACAGGTGAGAGGGGTGTGTGTTGGGGGGAGCCTGCCATGCCACTCAGTCCCACTGTCCAGCCACCACCAGGTGTTCTCTTTCATCCTTCTCCTGCCCTCCCTAGCACTCACCAAGAGGCAAGCAGCCTCCCCAGGCTGGCAGTTCAAATGGGTTGAGAAGGCCCACGCCAGCCCTGGGCATCAGGAGAGACCCCAGAATTAGTGACCCTTGGAGTCGAGCCTGGGGAAGCAGCGGACGTTCACTAGTGGGGGCATGGGGGGCAGGAGGAGACTGCATTCCAGATGGCTGGAAAGGAACCAGGACTCACACCGAGGGCACCTGACTCCAGGCAGCACCATAAAGCAGCAGTGGTTATGGTTAGGGGCTCTGGGAATGTGGCCACAGCTCTTTTGTGAGCCCCTGGGAACTTCACCAAGATGGGGGGCCACCTGCAGCAGGAGACAGAGCAAGTGGCAGGCAGGAGAGAAGACCGTCTGCTGCTGTACTGAGGTGGACGCACACCCGAGACTGGTGCCCTACACTGCAGGCTCTGGGACGCACTGTGAGTGGGATGTGCTGTCTCCTCTTGAATCCCGTGCAGGGCCCTGCTTGTAGGTGAGAAGCAGAATCTCAAAGGATGTTGTACTTCTGGGCTTCTCAGGAAATCCCCTCTCACCCAATTCAGGATAAGGAGAGAACTTATCCTGGCTCATCCACCTGGCAAGTGGCATATGGAAGGGCTGGTCCCAGGATCCACCTCATCACCTCCTTTCTCAAGCCCTTCTCTCCTTCCCTCTGGGTATTCACTGCTCCCCACTGCTGGGGGCCAGGGTTCTTGGTGAGGCAGTTCCGTGGCAAGGGGAGGGGAGGGATTCAAGCCCCACAGTTCTGGGCAGGAGGAAGGAGCTGTGGAACCACCACTGTTGTCTTGACATCCAGATACCCCCAGAGCTTCCCCTTGACCACTGTCCCTCCTTCCTACCCTACCCATGTCCCCATCGAGTCCTTACCTCCCTCCAGAAACAGGGGAGCCATGTTGAGAAAGTGTGGGTGCCCCAGGTTAGCCGGCCGAGAAACCCCTTCCTCAGGGAGAGTCAACAGCACTCTCTGGTAACAGCTGTCTGTAGGATACTGGGGTGTCCACAGTCTGCTGCCCCGCTGTCTTCCAGTTGCCATCCCTGCTGCTCCCAGTCTGGCTCCCCTCCACCCCTGTGAGCGTCCCTGCAGGCAAAGAGCCCTCTGAGCAGGACTAAATGGAAGTCATTTTGTCTAAAACACAAACCTTTTCTTACTAAAATATGCCACACACACCCTGCCCACCCCTTGCATTTTCCCTTCCCCCTAGAAAAGAAGAAATGGGTCACAATTTTCACTGTAAGCATCCAAATGCTCATGAGAAGCAGCGAAGTATTGGGAATCCATGAAATGAACCGAAACCCAATTACATAACGATTTCCATTTTAAATGGCCTCTGGAGTCGCCTGGGAGAACTGCTCTCCTATGCCGGCCCCGTGCCACAGAGGGGCAGTTCTTTCTACACAGTAATTACAATTTGCTATTCCACTCATTGGGAAGGACTGTCAGGACCCCCCCACTCCCGCCCCCGCCCCCCACTGCTCCTGGGTCACTTGGTAACTGCACTCAGTGTTAAGAGGGCCAGGTTGGTGAGCAAGCCAGCCTCAGGCCTCCAGCTTCCCCAGCCTGTCTGCCACTCGGGTTCCCTGACCAGCCAGGTGTGTAGACGTGAGGAGACCTGTCACATGTGAGCGAGCACTCCCTGGGTTTGGAGTTCTTCCTAGTACAACAGCTGCTTTCTAACTCCTAAATTATGCATGTGTGGAGTCCACTGAAGACTGTCCATGAAAGAGAAACTGAAAAAGCAGCTTGTTTTCTGCACAGAATTCTGGCTTGTCTTCGACCTTCTACGTTGATTTTATTCAGTTAGAAAATGAGCTTACAACAGGAATTACCTTTGGGGGAATTCTAAATCCCCCAGTTTATATCTATAACGTTTGATACAATTCATTCCCCCCCCAAAAAAACCCTGTATTAGCTGATTGAGGACACTCAGAGTTCAGAAGAAGATGCAAACACATTGACGTTCCTGTCCAGTCCCTTCAAGCAATATGGAGCTTGTGTATGGAGACCCTCTCCTTACTCCTTTGCGCCCTCCCTCTGCTCCTTGACCCTCTCTCTCCAGCTCTAGCTCAGTTGAGGGCTCTCCTAGGGACACAGCTTGCGTCCATGTGCTTTCTCACAGTCCTTCCCTTGGGCATAGGGTTGTGGATTTGCCAGTTGGTGGAGGGTGAGTGAAGCATGTGCAGATATGGAGGGGTGGATTATACTCCCAAAATGATAGTTAGGTAACCCAGTGCAAATCAACAAAACTTGAAACAATATTATTGATCTTTTCAAAGACCCAATTTTGTTTTCACATTTTCTCATTGTTTTCCTGTTTTCAATTCCTCCATTTCTGCTCTGGTCATTATTATTTCTTTTCTTCTGCTTCCTCTGGACTTAATTTGATCTTCCTTTCTAGTTTTCTAAGGTAGAACACTATTTTACCACGTCCTACAAATTTTACATTCTATTTTCACTCCAAGTATTTTTTAATTTCTCTTAAGATTTCTTTGCCCTATTATAGAAAAATAAATTCTTTCATCTCCAAATATTTTGCTATTTTACACCTATCTTTCTGTTATAGATTGCCAGTTTAATTTCATGGTCATTGGGGCTTCTCTGATGACCTAGGAGTTAAGTCTCAGCACTATCACTGCTAGGGCCTGAGTTGGACCCCTGGCCAGGGAGCTGACCCACATATGGTGCAGACCTCTCCTGTCTTGCCCGCTGCTCCCCTCAGCAGTGTATTTTAGTAAATCTGCCTGTTCTGCTACCCACTCTGTCTCTGATGAATCTTCTTACCTCCCAGACCTCTGGCCTACAGCCCAGTTTCTTCTATGCAAAAAAATAATAATAATGTATTTCATGATGATCTAAGAGCATATTTTGTTTGATTTCTATTCTTTTAAATTTATTAACATTTTATGGGTCAGAATGTGGTATATCTTGGTGAATGTTCCATGTGAGCTCAAAAAAAATGTAGAGTCTATACTAGTGGATGAAGTGTTCTATAAATATCATTCAGATCCAGTTGGTTGATGGTGAGATTCAGTCCCACTGTCCTTACAGATGATCTGCTTGCTGGATTTGTCAATTACTGATACTAAAGTATTAGAGTCTCCATCTGCAATATCTCTTTCTCCTTGCAGTTCCATCAGTTTTTCCCTCACTTTTTTTGGCGCTCTGTTGTTAGACACACACAATAAGGATCACTGTATTTTCTTGAGGAATTGACCTCCTAACATTACCAAATACCCTATTTTATCCCTGACAAGTTTATTTGCTCTCAAACCTGCTTTGTCTGAAATTAATATTTAATCTAGGGCCTCCCTGGTGGCACAAGGGGTTGAGCGCAGGGCTGTGAAGCTGTCTGCAACCTCTGCAGCATGTGTTCGATCCCTGGCTGGGAAGCTACCCACATGGCCCTGCAGACCTCTCCTGTCTTGCCCACTGCTCCCCTCATCAGTGTACTTCGGTGTATCTTTCTGTTCTGTTCCCTGCTCTGTCTCTGGTGAATCCTCTCACCTCCCACATCTCTGGCCTGTACTACAGTTCTTGTAATCATAAATATATAAACCTTTAAAAAATAATAATAATAATCAATCTAGCTTTCTCTTGGTTAATGTTAGCATGGTATGTGTTTCTCCATTTCTTTACATTTAATAGATACCTATTTATAGTTAAAGTCTATTTCTTGTAAATAATATATAGTTGAGTCTTGTCTTTGTATCCACTTTGACAATCTTCACCTTAAATTAATGCATTCAGATTACTTGCTTTTAAGATGATTATTCGTGTAATTGGATTAGCATTTATCATATTTGTTATTTTTATGTTCTTCTGCCTTGTGTGGTTTTGGTTGAGATTTTATGGGATTCCAGTTTCCTTTCTTAACATATCAAGTATATTTCTTTTTCTACTTTTTTTTTAGTTATTGCACTAGAGTTTGCTATATTCATTTACAACTAATCCAAGTCTACTTTCAAATAACACCATTCCACTTCATGGGCACTGCAGGTGTTTTATAACAGAGTTTCCCAAGTTCTCCTTCCCATCCCATTAGCATCCCCCCTTCATTCGCCTTTATTCATAAGCTCTCATCATCCAATGTGACTAGGTCTCTACCTGTGTTTGGAAGAGGGGAGGAGAGGGCATCTTAATTCTCATCCCAGACAGAGGCTCCAAATGAGGTAACCAGCCAACAAGCTCCAGGAAGCATCCTGGACTTCTAATTTCTCGGTGGTGGAGCTGGAGGTGGAGGAGGTGAGGCCAGAACTGCCTTTTCACGTCTCCACAGGTGACAGGTCGGGAAGGAAACCCTCTAAGAAGCAGGCACCCAAGGCCCATGGTGCGCGGGGCAGACAGAGGGCCCAGCATGACCAGAAGGAGCAAGCCAGGGGCAGCCCACGGCCAGGGTCTCCCAGGAGGAAGCAGACAGAGCGCAGCAACAGGAGAGGACAAGAGGAGCCAGGGAAACAGGGGCGGAGCCCCCTCGAGGGGAGGAAGAAGAGGGATGAGAGGGCTTCCTTCAAAGAGCAGCGAGCACCTCCAAGCAAGGAAAAGGCGGTGCTGAGGAAGGAGGAGATGTGGAAGCAGCCGAAGAAACACAGGTGTGTTGTGAGCTGGGCTCAGGAGTTTTTTTTCTTTTTTTTAAATTTTATTTTATTTTGTATATTTTTTACATCATTTTTCATTTTTGCACAATGTATGCATTTTCATCTTGGTTATATTCCTGTTGTTTTCAATCTATGTTCTTCCTCTTTCCAGCCCTCTCCCTCCCCCTGATGAGGGGCCATGTCTCCCTCCCTTGTGCAGGCCGCCCCCACTCTCTCCTCCTGCTTCTGTTTGCTTTGCCACTGCCCAACTCTCGGGCCTGTGGGGCAGGACCGGGAAGAGGCCCATGACCATCACAGGAGGAGCAGCCACTGGTTCCTCTCAACTCCCACGCCTCATGTCTCATGGGTGCAGCTGGAAGTGCCGAGGGAGGTGGTGACTTGGCGGCTAGTGGAAAAGATTCCAAGTCTCCTGAATTTCCACTGATGATTCACCATGGCTCTTGCAGAGAAGCTGAGAGACATGAACAAAATTGGATTTGGGACTCCTAGGAAGACTGAAGTCTGCCATTTTTCAAATCTGGTCCTGTGTCCTTCTCTTTGAAATGGGGCATTGATCTAGGAAAACATCAGAGACTCTACCAACTCTGAAACTCTAGGATTTGGGGGTTTGATTGTTTTCTTTGATCCATTAGCTCTTGCACACGTGGGGCAGTGGACAGAGTTAGCTTATGGAACTAGCAAGTCGGGATTTTAATTCCAATTTTTGTTACTAATTTGGATGAGACATCATCTTCTCTTTGCTTCTCTTTTCTGCTTTACTCCCTTCTTAGGGTGTTCGAAGGGTCCCCTTCCATAATGGGTAGGGGCGCTTTGGAAGCAGCTGGAGGTATCAAGATTATGGCAGAGTTGTGGTATTTCCCACTAGGTTTAACAAGCCTTCTTTGCTCACATCCTCTTTTGAGTGTTTCACCAAATCTCTCTACCTTTACAGAGAGGAAACTAAAGCCCTCAAAATGGGCCACTGATTTATTCTATGACCCATGCCGGCCATATCCTTAGGACTTGGTTGACTCTCTGGTTGTCCCTGGACATGAGCTAACAGAACAAAGGATGCATAGTGCACTTATGATACATTTAAGAACTTAAATGTATGATTTATGAGTCCTGGAGTGGCCCGAACTTTACAGGAGGCTGCACCACCCTAAATGGACCATGGATAGTAGATGCAAAGTAAAGGGTTGAGACAAGGATTTACTCACACCATTGAGTAAATGGCATGCTGAGTGCAGTGGCAGGCACAGACAGATGAAAAAGCATCTGTCCCCCAGATGCTGACAGTCCACCTTGGGAGAAAGGACAGGGATATCAGTTATAAGGCAAGGCAGAAAGCAATATGTATATGACAAAGGATTTGAGGAAGCTCCTTATTGGTGGGATGCTGGGGCATCAGAGTTCCTCCACTGAAAAGGTCAGCAGTTCAATAAGGTTTTGAAGAACAGGAAGAATTTGAACAATGACTGACTGCCCCCTAGATTCAGAAACACTCTATGTAAAGACTCAAAAGCAGATATCATGGTGTGTGTGTGTGTGTGTGTGTGTGTGTGTGTGTGTGTGTGTGTATTATGGCAAAAAAATTCCTGTGCTCTAGGCTTTCCCAGCCAGGGCCTCTGCCTCTTCACCTCCATCCTAACTTCTCCTTTGCTCTCTACAAGCTAAAACTTATGGAGGCTGCTGCAGATTGGTCTGTAAAGCCTGGAGTAACTCAAGCCTACACCCTGATATTTTCATCTATGAAATTTGCTAAGAAAGCAGCACAGCCTGAACCCTCTCCAACTCAGGTTCCCCGCCCCCACCACCAGCCCCTCACTTTGTGGCTCCTAGAAAATTTTAAATTACAATACATACCTCACTTTACATTTCTGTTAGGCAGCAATTGAATCGAGTGTGGTTGGGGGAAGACTCAGAGAAATGGAGTTTGGAGAGCGGCAGTCTGGGCTACTGGACAAAACTGTGGCCTGCTCTGAGGTGATGGCAGTCGGTGAGGGATTGCTAGAGGAGCAGGCCTATGGGGGCAGTCAGGACTACACGCATCAGGGGAGCACAGCCACTTGTCTTGCTGATGGGCATCTCTGCATTTCACAGAGAACCTGAGGACACTCTCTTCCTTTTCACTCTCCATTTCTTCTGTCTCTACCTCCAGATCGTCCTCCTTGGCCTCCAGTGCCTCTGCTGGGGAGTCTCTGTCGGAAGAAGAGCTAGCCCAGATCCTGGAGCAGGTAGAAGACAAGAAGAAGCTCATTGCTACCATGCGGAATAAGCCGTGGCCCATGACCAAGAAGCTTAGGGAACTCAGGTGAGAGGTGGTGGTCAGCCAAGGCTCAGCTTCTTCTGGTGGGCACCTGAATCTTTTCCTCCTCTCTGCCCCCTTGGGATTTGACAGAAAAGGGGATTCAGCCTCTGCTTTGGTCCTTCTTTGTCCCCAGAACAACCACAGCATTGAGGGGATGTGAGAGCCAATAGGCATGAGAGGTTGAGCTGTGACAGCTGACCAAGGGCCTGCTACCAACCAGCACCAAGCAGGGCCAGGGGGACAGAGGTCTGAGGCTCCACTCAGACCTACACCTTCCGTGATCTGGCTGCATCCTACCTTCTGTCCTGCATCCCCTTCTGTCCTGCATCCTACCTCATCTGGCCCTTCTGTACTCCCTCACACCCTACACAAGTATGCTCCCACACCCTACACAAGTATGCTCCCAACCCCGCACACACACCTCAACAATTTCAGAACTCTTGGGTTCTTTAAGCACCAGAATCTAGCTCCATGTAGCACACTCACACTTGCAGTGCAGAGGGCTGAGAAAGGGTCTGCCTTAGCTACCCTGATGTCCCCACTGCCTAAGCTTGCAATGATGCTCTGTGAATACTGTTCTGTGAATAAGGAGGCCCACACCGAAGCCACTGGTTCCCATTGTCAGCTTGATCCCTTCTCTTGTTTTCCTACCGAAGGCTGGCATGCCAAGCATTTTATGATATTTGAATGAACTGCTGTTTTGAAAAAAGGGCAGGTGGCACATTGCTTAACTTCTGCTTTTCTGCTGAACAATTCCCATGCAACATTACCACCGCCCCACCCCAAGTCCCTCACCCATAGGGCTAGACTTGTTGACCTCAAACAAGCAAGCAATCAGCCAGTTATTTCACCGGTGAGATACATTTATTCAGAAACAACAATAAAAGCAATTCTGAACCCGGGGTCTCAACATGAACACCCCCCCCACCTCCCAAAACAAAAGAAAGAAGCATTCCTATATAGATTTCAGAGGCGTTTTATAATCCAAGAGTCTATTGGAGGGAACTGGGAGCGGGAAGTGTGGTGGCTTTTCATTGGCTGGGTTACGGCGCGTTCTCATTGGCTGAGCTGTTGCTGGGCAGGGAGGGGGCGGAGCCTCTCCTTCCTCCCGCGGGGGCTGCACTTCCAGCGGGAGATGCATGGCCTGGCTCTCCAGGGTAGACTCTGCACTGTGCGTGGAGCACGTGTGTGTGTGTGTGTGTGTGTGTGTGTGTGTGTGTGTGTGTGTGTGTGTGTGTGTGTGTGTGAGTGACACACAACTCTTCTTTTAGGCTCCCGGCCTCATGTAAATGGCATTAATGTTCACAGCAGTGTCACTTCCTTTCACCTTCCCTCTATAAAGCCATTTTTTTCCTGACTCCTGTCTCACCTGAATTTCCTCCTTGCTCAGGTCAAACGCAGCACCCCTCATTGTGTAGGACAACTTGGCAGCCTTTTTTTGCCACAGATGCTGGCAGCACACACACTGCGGACCCTCCCCCGGGGTTCTGGTAAATAAAACTCACTCTGCTGCCCCCTGCTTCGCTCCCTGGAGCAGGTCCTCTGGGCACGCAATGGTCTCTCCCCTCCAGTCCAACTCTTTCCTCTTGGCTCTCCCAAGACGCCTCATCCCAGAATCAACTCTGTGGCTCTCCAGCCGCTAGGTCTTCTCTCTAGCCCGTGCTTCTGCCTGGATGTTCATTGCTACCTGCTGGCCCACCTGCCTAATTCCTACACACCCTATAAGGCTCATGCCCGAGTGTCCACTCCACAGGAAAGTTCCCAGTGCTCTCTCCCCTGCCTCCAGGCTGAGATATTTACTGCCCCTTCAAACTCCAAGGCACTGCCCTCTCCCTTGACTGGATGCTCTTGTTTGCTGAGATGGGTCTATTAGATATTCTGATTCAGAGCATTTGTTGATGTCATGTTCTAGATACTTCCATCATGACCAATTTCAAGCTGCCAAAGTTTACCAGCTGGTTGGCTACTTTCTTAGGAGCCAGTCCCCACCGGCTCCAGCACCTTCCTGGACAATATCTACTAGACAAACTGATCCTTGTGGTTCTCATCCAGCCTTCCCTGGATGAACAATCATTCACTCAACATCCATTCACCACACATACATGCCGCAAATCTCTACTGAATGCTGAATTCACTCTCTATTACTGCTGTAACAAGTGACCATGTTCTTAAAAGTCAAAGCAACCTTCATTTCCTAGTTCACACTTCTGGGGGTCGCAAGTCCTGTGTGGTGTGGCTGGATTCTCTTCTCAGGGTCTTACCAGGTATCCGCAGAGCCATGGTGCCTCCTGGGGCTACAGGTCCTCTTCCAATTTGAGCAGAATTTGTTTCCTTCTCTTGCTTTCTATGTGGCAGCCTCCAAAGGGGCCCCAGCAACAGAGGGTTGAGAAATCTCGGGCTTCAAATTTCTCTGATTTGTGTCAGTCTATCACATCGCTCTCTTCTGTCTTCCTCTTTTGTTTTTAAAGGTTTGTGTGGTTGCACTGGACCCTTCAAATAATCCAGGATAATCTCCCTATTGTAAAGTCAGGGATTTTAATTACATTTGCAAAATCCCTTTGCCATTCAGGGATTTACCTCCAGGGGCAGAGGTCATGGGGAGCAAAATTCTGCCTGCAGATATCTACTATGTATTAAGCAATATTCTCTGTATTTAGCAAACTTCAATAAGAGGCAGAAGGCCCTGCTTCGTGGACTTTACATTCTAACTAAGGTTATAAAACACTGAAGGCTTTTGGCCACATATACACCCCACAGTTCAGATTTCTTTTGTTTAGGGGTTAATTGAATTCCTGCCCTTTTTTTTTCCTAACCAGGGAGGCCCAAGTATTTGTGGAGAAGTATGAAGGCGCTTTGGGGAAGGGGAAAGGCAAGAGGCTCTATGCCTACAGGATGCTGATGGCTAAGGTGCGTGTCAGAGGCTGCGAATCTGGGGAGGGATGGCTGGGCTGTTGGATCTGGGAAGGGATGGCTGGGCTGTTGGATCTGCATGACCTCTGCAGGCACTTGCCTGGCCTCACCATTGGTGCCCACTACCCCAGAATTCTGAGCCTGAGCTCTGACTGACCATTCCCATTCATGCAGGAATGGAAGCCAACTGTATCCTGCCTGCTTCACTCACTTACTGTGAGGTCTTCAATGTACTTAACATTTGTTTCCTCATCAGTAAAGAACTAAAATCACAGAATTGATGATGTTAAAACCACTGGGATTTTTTTTTTCCAAACCTAAATCAGGACACATTGTTTGATTTGTTAGAAACCCTAAAGTGCTATGATGTGATCATGGTCACACAGGGAATAACCAGCAGTCACCTCGGGGAGGGGCAGCTCTGCTCTCCTGAACTACATCATCACCTGGGCTTTGGATTCAGGCTCTGGGCATGTTCTAAGACTGATTCGTTGTGGAACTTACTGAAGTCTCTGTCCTTTATCTACTGCTTGAAAAACTATTCTTTTCATTCTCTTAATTCTTATATTGGGCCTGTTTGGGAACTTTTATTTGAATTCACCATCTCATGTCTGTAGCGCTGACTTCCTCTTTTTTACCACTGTTTTTCAAAAATGTTTTGGCTTGGTCTGTGTTTTCCTGTGCATTTTTAAAATCACTTGCCACGTTCCAGTATAGCCCACATGGATTTTGTTTGGGATTGCTTTTGACCTTGATTTAACTTGGGAAAATTTATCGATACACTATTCAGTCTTTGCATCTAGTGATACTATCCATTTCTCACGCCTCATTTTACATCCTTGAGCAAAATTTGTCATTTTCTTCATATAGATCTTTTCTGTGTCTTAAGTTTATGTCTACAGTGTTTTTGTTTTCATTACTTTTGTGAATGGGGTCATTTTCCCATTTATTTAGTAACTAGTTATTGTTGGTATGTAGGAAAGCTGCAGATTTGTGTAGTCATTTTTTATCTGCTTCCTTTATTCTCTTATTTATTCTAGTCATTTCATTTGGCTATATATATATAAAGAAATTTTGTTGGGCTCTTCTAAATGTGATCTCTCATCTTATTCTCAAGTGTGGGTTAACAATACTAGAACAATTTCAGTTGAGTGGTGATCACGTGTCTCTTTCTGAGAATAACTCTAGTGTTTCACATTAAGTTAATGGGAGTTGTTGACTTGAAATAGATTTTCTTTCTCAAAATAAGAAAATGTCCTTCAGCAATCTTCCATTTTATTGGAAATAGATATTTGATTTTTATTAAACATGTTTCCCTTTCTATTATTAAGCTTCCTTTTATTTCTGGGATAACCTCAGTCATGATGCATTATTTCTAGCCCCACATTTGATTTTCCAAAATTTCATTTATGGCTTTTAAGATTCCTTTGGATTTGCATGTGTGCACACGTGTACCTGTGCTATTCTGGCAGATTTTAATACTAGGGTTGCATTTGCTTTCGATTGTTAAAAGGATAGGATTGGCTCCTCTTTATGCTATAAATCAGTTTATAAAGAATAACTATTATTATTTGGGAAATTTGAAAGAGGACACCCTTAAAACTTTATAGGTCAGGCACCATTTTTGTAGACTGCCTTGATAATTTTTTAATGTTTTTCCTATTTAGCATATATCATGTTTTGACTATTTGTTGGGGCCATTTTGGCATTTCACATTCTTCCCACAACTTGATTGTTTCAACTAGATTTTCAAATGGAGTTCCAGAAAGCTGCATGTGGTGGTCCCATTTTTGTAATTACTTTCTATATGTATTGGATTTGAATCTTTTATTCCTAATGTTTTTTCACCTTTTTTGGGGGGGTTGTAATGCTCAACACCTACCTATGGGTCATTTTGTTAATTTTATCTAGAAACTATTTACCACCTAACAAATGTACACTCAGGGCTTTTTTCCCAACTGAAGAATGTGCTCTTCAAATACATATTGATAAATGATTCTGTTCACTAATGTTTTAGTCAGACAGTTCTAGCTTCTTCTTTAGGAAAAATGTGGCTGGTTGCCTATTCTCTGTCTTCTGTATTTACTTTCCCTCATTGTTTTTAATGCTTTGCTTTCTTTCTCTTTGCATCTCAGAAATTCTCAGGTTTATTCTCAATATCCTGAATCAATTTCTTCTGTTTCAGTTATAGTCTTTATTATGTATAATGTTTATTTTCATCCTATTACTGAACTTTTAGCCATCTTACCATCCTGTATTTCTCCTATATTCTTTTTTAAATGTTACCTTATTATTCTTTACAATAGAAACCTTATATTTCATATCCTATTAAGAATACTGCTAAACTTGGGGCTTCCCTGGTGGCACAGGGGTTAAAGTCTCAGCAATATCAAGCTATCACCAGTCTCTGTGGCATGAGTTCCATCCCCAGCCAAGGATCTAACTCACATGGCACAGCAGACCTCTCCTGTCTTGCCCACTGCTCCCCTCAGCAGTGTATTTCAGTCAGTCTGCCTGTTCTGCTCCCCACTCTGTAGCTGGTGAAACATCTCACTCTCCTCCCCTCCCCACCTCTGGCCTACACTCCAGTTCTTTATGCATAAATAAATAAAAATAAATCTTTTTAAAAAAAAAAAAAAAGAAACTTCTTTAAAAAAAAAAAATGCTAAACCAGTACCCAGAATTTCTATGTCCCAGGCGAAATGCTTTCCAAAACTTTCTAAGAATGGTGTCCTCTTTCCCTCGTTCAGTGGCACTGTTTCTAAGGCGTCACAGTTTGCTTTTAGTCACTCAGATGCAGATCTTATCCACAGACAGAATGTGTAGATTGCCTATGTTTCATTAGACTACTGGTTGAAATATTTTTTTCTATATATAACTGGAGAGAAAGACAGAACTGATAACCCAGTCCCAGATCAATAGCTACATGTCACACAGCTCCAAGGAAGGGATAGAGGTCTTCTGGCCACACACACCCCAGCCCAGCATTCTGATTCTGTGAATCAAGCGATAAGAACTTCAATGCAGAGCTTCTCCCAGGCCTCTCTCTGCTCCTGCCCCCACCTCCAGAGCATCATTGTCCAGGTGCCCACAGCCTTGAAGAGCTGTTGAGTGGTTACTAAGCAACCATTTGGCAGGCTATGTCTCCAAGGGCCTCACTTAGCAACACTCATTACCCCTGCTGGCCCTTAGTCATGCAAGCCTATATTTTGTACCGATTTTATCAGCATCCCATCAGGAGGTTCATCCCTCGGGGGAGGACTCACATTAATAAACCTTATGAAACTGACATATAAAACCAAATGCTAGATTATTAATTTACAAGGAGAAGTAACTTATGCAAAAAGAGGAAAGTTTGAAGTCCACATCTGTAGTCCTTTTGTTTTTGACAGTAAATTACTTACAATGGGAAGCTAAACCATAAACCCAATTCCAATCCATTTATTTGAAATGAAAACTCACTGCCACTAAAACCAAAATAATCACAGTCCAGGGGACAGGTAACTGCTTTCCTTATAGACAGTCCTACATCTTAGGCCAAATTAGTCAAAGGTGACTTTTGAGTCCAGAATCAGAACTCAGGAAAGGCAGATGAGGCCATGGGACTAGAATGTCTAGTGTCCAGCATCTGTCATTCCCCACACCCTTCCCTTTCTGTCCTAGGGACATCTGCCATTATTGTCAACTAGCATTTTGCTTATGGTTCCCTCTTCCCCACATCTGTGATAAGCTCCCTCTTCTACCAGGTTTCCTTCCTTAAATAGTAATTTCCTGATCCAGATATAATCAGTGCTCAGGTCTGGAGGCCTATTTCATTCTTTCATGTAACATAGAACAGGCAGACTGACAGAAATACACTGCTGAGGGGAGCAGCGGGTGAGATAAGAGCGGTCTTCTGCGCCATGTGGGTATCTACCTGGCTGGCCGGGAATCGAACCGGCGCTACAGAGGCTGTGGAAAGCTTCACAATGCTGCGCTCAAACCTCTGTACCACCGGGGAGGCCCCTTCATGAGCAAGTTCTTAGAAGACCTTTGTGATACTAAAAGCTGATCTTAAAATGTCTCTATACTGCCTCTTGGCCTTTTTTTTTTCCCCTGTGTTTTCAATACCAAATGAATGTAGGGTGGAGCCTCTGGCAACCAGTCCCTTGAAGAGCTGACAAATTTCCACCCGTCAGACAGACCACCACTCAGGTTTCTGATTGGTACAAACTCTGAGTGTTGGAGTGGGGATCCTTGTGTGGGAAAAGGCAAAACACCTTCCTAACGCCTTTCAGAAAAAACAGGAGCAGACTGGGAAGCAAAGGACTGAGGCCTGTCAGTCAGTTCTACCAGCATCAGAGTTTAGCACCAATTCAAATCCAATTCCGGCACTTAGCTGTCTACTAAATGTGACCATGAAAATTGTGAGATTTCCTTTTCCCTTGAATTTTGGTTTAAGATAAAGTAAATTGTATCAGAAGTTGCTGATCCAATTCGATCCTCCAAGCCCTAATTATACACCAAATTTCTAAATTATTATATAAATTGCCCTCATCTGAAATTCCAACAACACGGTAGCCAAATGCAAGGTACTATGTTACCTTGGCTTTTCTTTCACTTCACACCTGTCTTTGGAAAATGAAGACTTGGAAGTCCGCGTCTAGCAGTCTAGGTTCAAGGACCCCCAGATGGCAGCCACACCCACATGTCGACCTCCTGTTGATGCATCAACATCCATGTGCCCTCAACATGCCCCTCCAGGCCCCAAAGCAGCAATTAATGAACTGAAGGTATTACTTGTTTAATTTCAGAAATGGGTCAAATTTAAGAGAGATTTTGATAATTTCAAGACCCAGTGTATTCCCTGGGAAATGAAGATCAAGGACATTGAAAGTAAGTATTTTTTGTCATTATTTTTATTGGGTTTACTGAAAAGTTTTCCAAGAGCTTGCGGAGTATTCTTGAACAATTGACCAGATTATTTCGTAGGTTCTGTTGCATGAGAAAGAAAATACAGACTTTGGGCTGGTCAGGCCAAGGTTAATATTGTGCTGCTTCAGTTTCTGATTGTGGGAGCCTCAGCAGGTCAGGTAATGCTATGGAACTTCAGGTTATTTATCTGGAAAAAGAAAATGGGCATCAGGGTGTCTGTTCCACCAACTGATGTGAAAATTGAATCCGTCACACGCATAAGGTGCTTCCTCCTGCAACGCTTAAATCCGCCATCTCCTCTCTCCAGGTCACTTTGGTTCTTCAGTGGCGTCATATTTCATCTTTCTCCGGTGGATGTATGGAGTTAACCTTGTCCTTTTTGGCTTAATATTTGGTCTGGTCATAATCCCAGAGGTAAGAAAAGAAACTCCGATATTTTTGGATAGTGTTGAGGCTTATCATGACCCCCGTCTTAATTTATCTCTGTCAAATACATCGAATCAGTCACTCATTTAAAATTCTATACTTACATCAATGGCCCAGGTAGTTCAGTATAAAGAATGGAGCCAAAATCCTTGCATTTCTGAATCAAGAAATGAACCCCACATTTTTCTACCATTCATTTTCTTTAAGATCAGTGGAGAAATAATTATCTCAGTGCCTTTTTTGTTCTTTTACCCTTGTGGGGGAGGGAAAAAAGAAAGAGACAGAAAGTATTATATCATAATTATTACCTGAAAAAAAACACTTACACTTGAATATCACTCCTCATTATTGTCCCAGATATAATCTTATTATGGGTATGGATATAATCTTCACTATAGGTGAGTAGATTGAGAGATAAAAAGGAATAAGTAATGAGTGCAGGGCCTCCCTGGTGGCGCAGCAGTTGAGCGCTGGATTGCGAAGCTGCCTGCGGCCTCTGCGGCGCCGGTTCGATCCCCAACTGCTCCCCGGCCACCGGAGGAGGGTCCCACATGGCGCGCAGACCTCTCCTGCCACCCGCTGCTCCCCTCAGCAGTGTACTTCGGTCCTTCTGCCTGCTCTGCTCCCCACTCTGGCTCTGGTGAATTCTCTCACCCTCCCGCGCTTCTGACTGTACCCAGTGCTTGTATAAACAAACAAACAAACAAACAAATAAATAAATAACATGCCTCTTAAAAAAAAAAAAAAGTAATGAGTGCAAAGTTACCCAGTAAATTTATAGCAGCTGAGATCCAGGTCTGCAGAGTGTTGACCTGGGATTTTCAAAGGCACCTGTGGCTCACTAGGCTCTGAGCACAGTAATTGCCACAGCCCTGCCCTGCGCTGTTTGGTGCAGGTGCTCAGTGCCCAAAGGATTTACTTCAGCAGCTTCTAAGGGAATGATGCCCCTGCATTTCCTCCATTCAGTTTTATTACTTGGTTCTGTAATAGCTTGCTGATTCCACTTTACTATAAATGGACCTGTGAGCATATTGGAATCCACCTATAGTGACATCCTTGAGAAACTTTCTGCATATCCACCTTTCAGGAAATTGAGACTTCCAAAGAATGTGAATTAAATCAGATTAGTTGAAGAGATTGATGGTATATTATAATAGCACTTGTAGCAAAGGAGTGTTGTGTTGTTATTAAACCATTGAATTCTTTTCTGCATTACCTAAGAAGAGTACTTATAAATATGGCATTAACTAGACTTTGTACTCCTTTATATACATGCCTGGAAATCAAGACGTATGATTCCATTTAGTCTGATAGAAATTCTTAAGCCGTTATTACTCTGGGACACAGATATAAGAATTTTAAAACTTCTGGCAAGTATGCACAAACATTCTTGCACCAGGTCTGTTCTCCTCAAGGGGGAAATATTATCAGAAGCTAACTGCAAGTTTCATTCTTCCCTCCATGGTTAAGGAAGTATGCATTTTCCCCAGTAGCCACTGGGAAATTTACCTTCACAGAGCTCTTTTCTTTCTTCCTGAGAGTTTTGATTCCAAATGGATTTATTTCCATGAAAAGAAGACATATTTAAAGGCTGAAAGCCTGTGGGACACTGCTAAAATTTTGCTATACAGTGGTCCAGAATGGCAGTCATTTGGGGAAGTTGAATAATTTTAAGGACTGACTTTTTTCCTTAAGGGAAGCATTAAATTGTATATATTTATAAATTGATATGATTTATAGACATTTTTATATCAGGGAATATGGAAACATGGAAGACTTAGTGATTGGAGCAGCGTGGGGAGATCTGAGAGGGCAGGGGTTGCTGGCTGGAAGGAGGGACAGCTGGGCGGAGAAGGGAAGAAGCAAAGATCAATTAGGAGCCTGTTGCAGTAGCTCGGGGTATTAGCAATGGAAATGTATAAAAAGAGAGGAGATAGAAGTGAAGAGAGAGAGAGAAGAGACAATACTTGGTGACAGTTTGGATGACAGCAGTGGAGGATGTGGAGTATACCTAGATGCCTTCTTAAATAGGATAATGGGAAATTGACCACATAGGAATGAGACACATCCAAATTCATTGCAAATAAAGTGGAGGAGATTCCCTGTTGGTCAATTCCAGGACAAAATTAAGACTGAATAAATGGAAGGACACATTCTCAGAAAGGAAAACTTAACATAAAAAAGCCAATCCTTCTGAAATCAATATGTAAATTTAATACAATTCCTATTTTTGTGAGAAAAAATGTGAATAAAGGCATATAAAGAATAACAAAATTATGTCATGTGAAGAAATAGAAATAATGTTCAACCATAGGGGGGATTTGTTAAGCAAGTTTATTGTACACATATGTGATTAGATATTTTGAAGTCATTTCATTTTGAAAAATAGCATATGACATAGGGAATTGGTAATAAAATATTAAGCAAAATAACCGGGTTAAATATACACATATTTATAAAACTCAGAAACAACAGAAAGAAAAGATATGAATACCTAACAGCCCTATCACTGGATACGGAGATGGAAATTTTTTTTTTAATGTTCTTCTGTACTAGTTCACATTTTTGCAATGAATGTGATACTTTCAAAATCAGGAAAGAGGCCTTCCTGGTGGTACAAGGGGTTAAGCGTCAGCACTATGGAGCAATCCGCAGCTACAGCAGCATGAATTCGATCCCTGGCCAAGGAGCTGACCCACATGGCTCAGCAGACCTCTCCTGTCTGGCCCGCTGCTCCCCTCAGCAGTGTATTTCAGTCAATCTGCCTTTTCTGTTCCCCACTCTGTCTCTGGTGAATCCTCTCACTCTCCACACCTCTGGCCTGCACTCCAGTGCTTGTATAAATAAATAAATAACTATTTTAAAATAAAAAATAAAATCAGAAAAGTGATTGATGTTATTTAAAGAAGAAATGAGTGTGTCTTCCTCTGGGGAGAAAAGTGTTTAATCCAGAACATCTGGTGCATTTGTACTTTCTCATGTGAAATTGTGCGGCTCTGCCCTCGCCAGGTCCTGATGGGTGTGCCCTATGGAAGTATCCCCAGAAAGACAGTGCCTCGGGCTGAGGAAGAAAAAGCCATGGATTTTTCTGTCCTGTGGGATTTTGAGGTACCACTCCAGCATGCCAGCCGCTTCCATGTCGTGATTATGAGACCTAAAGATTGCACAGATAGGTGTGAGATGTCTCATTTAATGATGAAAAAGCATCTGTAGGATGGAAGCACTCTGCAGAGTGAGTTAGCCAACCTGTCTCCTGGTAGTCGTCCTCAGTTCCCTTCTGGGTGTGATCTCTCTCCAGCCACAGGCTCTGAAGGACACGAGTCCCCCATAAGGCCACGGCTCCCCCCATTCTGCCAGCTCTGACAAGGTGATCTCGCCAGGTGGTTTTCTCTCCCCACATCTACCATAAGCCCCCAGGACTATCGCCACTCTAACCTTTCCCCAATTTTTCATCTTCAATGAAATGTTCTACCTGGCCCTCAGATTCAGCATCTATCCTGCCAAGCCCACATCTCCTTTTCCCACCTTCTGCCCTGGAGCCACTGTTATCCAGGTCTGAAACCTGGAAGTCATCCTCTTGCTCAATCCTATCACTCCACATCCAAAAGAATTAGGAGCTATAGGTGCGTGTACCTGCAGGCGCCCACACACCTCGCATCCCACATTTTATCCTGAGTGTTCACAACACGCTCCTCTCTGTCCTGTATCTCGATGCACTCTGCATAATGGAAAACTCGAAAATGTAGAAAGAAAGAGAGGGAGACATGGAGATATGGAGGACACAAACAGAAGAAGGAGGATATCCAGGACTCTTCCTTCCCCGCTCAGACTGCCATTAAAGCCCCGAGAAGGAAATCCTGGTAACATGAAAGTGTCTGAAGTTTGTGCTGAACTTACAAACCCAGAGCATTTGCCTTTGCTGTCCCACAGGGCTACATCAAGTATTCTGCTCTCTTCTACGGCTACTACAACAACCAGAGGGCCATCGGGTGGCTGAGGTACAGGTTGCCCATGGCCTACTTTATGGTGGGGGTCAGTGTGTTCGGCTACAGCCTGATGATTGTCATTAGATCGTAAGTATTACTATCTGACTTACAGGCTTTTTCCTTTTCTTCCCAGGGCTACTGTGTGCCTGCTAATCTTCCTGGGAGATAGAAGAGAGAGATGGGGGTGGGGAGGAGGGATTTAGAGAGAAAGGAAGGAAACAAAGCAAATGTGGATTGTATTATGTGGCTTAAGGTATGTAAACAGGCTAATATGGTAAATTCAGGGAAGTGGAATAGAAACTCCTTTTGCTGAGGCTGAGGACTGCCAGCCATACTAAAAGTCTTGGGCATAGTATTTTAGACCAAGAAAAGCATGTACAAGGGCCCTGGGGCATAGATGCCCTAGTGAGTATTTGCTATCAGAAGGTCAGTATGACTTACGGTGGGGCAAGGCACTTCGTAATGCCGGGCTGGAGAAGTTTGTGAGGCCTGCTTCTGCCTTCCCCAGAGCTCATCTTCCTCACGAAAACTCTTGTGCTCCTGTATAACCTCAGCTTGTGTGGAAGAACTGAGTCTGGCACTTAGCAAGATACAAACAATAAGCCTAAATAAATGAAGGCGGCTGTGATTAGCTGTGGGAGGGGGATGGCGCTCTGATTGTCAACCGACTCAAGTCTGTCTTGGCTCACCTCCCTGCTGGCTCATGCCCCTCACTGGATGTCTGAGATCTATGCCCGAGACCAGCTCAGACCAAGATTCCCTGGGGCTGCCACAGCAGAAGCTGGGCACACAGAATAGCCTTATGTGCCCTGCAGGATGGCCAGCAACACCCAGGGCACCACAAGCGAAGGGGAGAGTGATAACTTCACGTTCAGCTTCAAGATGTTCACCAGCTGGGACTACCTGATCGGGAATTCGGAGACGGCAGACAACAAATATGCCTCTATCACCACCAGCTTCAAGGTAGTCACCCCAGGGCAGTTCCCGTCAAAGTGAGGTCACTAGTCATTCTCCCAGCTGGGGCATGGGATATAAGATCCCCATATAATTTGTAGCAAGAGCTTTACCAGAAACGGGAACCTGGCTCTCAAGCCTCTGGGAAGAAATGCTCATGGGCTGCCCCCGCCATCTGTTTCTTAAGGTGCAGACACCCAGGAATGCCGGGCCAGGCCCTGCCTGCATCCCTGTAGAGTTGTTTTCTGCAGAAGGAAGTGGAAGGACTCATTTGCAACAGCAGTTCTCAGCTGTCTATGTATGCTTGAATCACCTAAGGAACTTTCAAAATCTTCCAGACCCCCCACCCCCAGAGATTCTGGCATAATTGGTCTGCATAGGGTCTTGGCATTGGTTTGGTTTGGTTTGGTTTGAAGTGTCCTAAGTAATTAGATTACCCAGAAAAAGTTGAGGACCCCCCGCCCCAGTTTGGGGGAATAGAGGACTCAATTAAGTAAACACTTACTTATGCATTAGATCACAAAAGAGGTGACCTACAGAATATAAAATAACTGGAGGGAAAGTAGATGAATGGAGATGGAGCCTGCAACAGAGAAGCATTACCAATCTGATTTTTTTCCTCCATGACTGTAAAAACTCTCCAAAGTTCTTGATAGTTCAGTATTTCTCCTGTCTGATAAGCCAGACTTTGTTTCCCCTAGGATCTAGCAGATCAGATTAGCAGCCTAGCTGTGCTTGCTGTCTTGTCTTCTATCCCCTCCCCTCCCCCAGTCCTTCCTGGAGAAGTGGGCTGCTGCCCGCTGACCACGGCCTGCAGGGGGAGGCACGCCCACCAGGAACAGGGCGTGGACTCAGCAGCTCTCCCTGGGCTGCATGAACCCACTGTCGCGGAGAGGGTGGAACAGGAAGCTGACTCCATCCTCTTCCTGCTTCCTTCTTACAGCAGGGGGACTCTGGCTCAGCATCCAAGGACAGAGTGGGAGCATCAGTGGAGACTTTGGTTCTTCCTCCTGACCCAGAGAGAGACAAAGAAAGTCAATGACTAGAAAGCACTTTGAACATCTGGGAAGGAGAAACAGCTCCTATAAGTCTGTTTAAAACAGAGAATCCCCTTACAGAGCAGGCACATGTCGGGAGAACTGGGTGCATTCGTCATTGTTAACTGCCAGCCGCGTTAGCTAAACCGGAACCTGAAGGTGGTCACTATATTCAGTCTCCTTCCAGGTGCTATGTTGTCTGGGAGACCTCACTTTCCATCCTGGCTCCGCCATATGCTATTTAGTCTTCACAGAGATTACTGATGCAGAAGACAGGAATTATGAATAAAAATCTGTTGCATTATAAGTTTGTAGCAAGTTAGAAAATAATTTTTAATTCCATTCATAATAAAGCTACATAAATTACTTGACATTCCTAGAAGTAAATTTAAGCTCCCCCTGCAAAAAAAAGTACAAGACAGTTACACCAAAAAATACACAACAGTGTTGAAAGAAACTGAGAAACCCAGAATAAATGGAGCGCTATTCCATGTTCATGGATTAGAACTATAGTCCACAGTCCAAATTTGGCCTGCTGCCTACGTTTATAAATCAGATTACATTGGAAGAAAGCCACGCGCACTTATTTACATATTGTCTGTGGTTGCTTCCTTGCAACAATGGCACAAAGACAAGAGACCGTTGTGTGTGACCCCTACAAAGGCAAAAATATTTACTATCTGATATTTTTATAGAAAAAGTTTGCCAGCCCTTGGATGAGAAGACTCACTACTGTTAAGATTCAATTTTAATCTGTTTGATTTATAGATTCAAAACCATCCTAGTCAGTTACTGAAATCTCTCTGGGCCTTAGCATCTGTGATGTAGGAAATAATAGTAGTTACCTGACTGGCTTGTTATGGGGTAAGAGAGGCAGCCCATGGCCAGTGCTTAGCACCACATCTGGCACATAGTGAGTATTTGATTAAGTCTCAGCTGTTGTTGTTCCATGTGCTGAAATAACAATAACAAAAAATATACTTTCTTAAAGAAAAGAACGAATCTCTGTAGGGCAGCAGTGCGCTCTTCACTTCCTCCGCATTATTTCATCTGTGGAAACATAGAAAGTGGTCACCTTGGGATCCAGCAGCCGTGGCTCCTGTGGGTGCTTGGCCTGTCATTATTCACATCTCATTTTCACACACCAAGGAATCCATAGTGGATGAGCAAGAGAGTAACAAAGAAGAAAACATCCATCTGACAAGATTTCTCCGTGTTCTGGCCAACTTTCTCATCATTTGCTGTTTGTGTGGAAGTGGGTACCTCATTTACTTTGTTGTGAAGCGATCCCAGGAGTTCTCCAAAATGCAGAACGTCAGCTGGTATGAAAGGAATGAGGTAAGCACAGCATCCTCTGCTGAAGTGAATATTTCGGGCAAATACTGCCATCACACTGGTCCCTGCATCATTTAGCTGAATTATTGAAAGTCTGGATTAGAAGTCTGGTTTTTTTTTTTTTTTAAGATTTATTTATTTATTCATACAAGCACTGGGTACAGTCAGAAGCACGGGAGGGTGAGAGAATTCACCAGAGCCAGAGCGGGGAGCAGAGCAGGCAGAAGGACCGAAGCACACTGCTGAGGGGAGCAGTGGGCGGCAGGAGAGGTCTGCGCGCCATGTGGGACCTTCCTCCGGTGGCCGGGGAGCAGCCAGGGATCGAACCGGCACTGCAGAGGCTGCGGGCAGCTTCACAACCTAGTGCTCAACCGCTGCGCCACCAGGGAGGCCAGAAGTCTGGTTTTAGAAAGTCAAGTTCCATCCCTTTCCAGTTAAGTGGCATGAGCATCTTGAGCAAAGAGTCACCTGTTAATGGGCTTTCATAGCTTGATAAAGTTGGGCCTAATTAGCATATAAGTCAACTGAATAACCAGTTATCCTAACATCCCTTATTAACATGGTGATTTTTTTCCTTATAGTTGTACAGTGCCATACATTGTAAATCCAGGGTCCGTTAATGCATGGATGTGATTCTGGACTCTCTTCTGTTCCATTGGTCTATTTGTCTACTCCTGCACTAACAACACACTGATGTATACTATGTCATCATAGTATGTCTTGATAGCTGTTATTTCTCTCATTGTGATGCACAATAAAACTCATTAAGGTTTTATTGTAATTGTATTGGATCCATAAATCTCTTCTGGGAAGTTGACATCTGTGGTTGTTTACAAAAATGGCTACAAATTCTTCCCATCCTTGTATGCACATTTCTTTGCATATAGGAGGTAGAATCTGCTTCCCATCCCTTGAATCCAGCTGGGTTTGAACATATGACTTGCTTTAGCCAGTGGGATAACTGTGCTACAAGGAAACTTGAAAGTTGCTTGTATATAGGAATTTGTTCTTGGGAACCCTGAGACCTCCACCATGAGAACAATCCCAGTCTAGCCTGCTGAATGATGAGAGACTCATGGCCCAGTTAGCTCATCATTTCTAGGTGACAGCCAATAAGCTTGTGAATGAAGCCATCAACCATCTGCTGACCATAGATAAATGAATGAATTCAGGTAAGACTACAAAAGAACCACCAAGATAATCCCAGATAAAAATACTGAACCATAGGGCCTTCCTGGTGGTGTGCTATCAAGCTATTGCCAGCCACTACAACATTAGTTTGATCCCTGGCCAGGAAGCTAACCCATATGGCACAGCAGACCTCTCCTGTCTAGCCTGCTACTCCCCTCAGCAGTGTATTTCAGTACATCTGCCTGTTCTGCTCCCCACTCTGTCTCTGATGAATCCTCCCACCCCCCACACCTCTGGCCTATATCACAGTTCTTGTATGCATAAATAAATGAATCTTTAAAAAATATATATTGAACCACAGAATCATGAGCCAAATCATAAGAAAGAATCTGTCTCCTCCCACAAAGCAAGAAATGATAGAAAAAGAAATATGGAACTGGTAGGACCAATATAAAACACAAAAGGAGTTAGATTTAAATCTAAATATATCACTGATTATAATAAATATAAATAGATTAAAACTATAGTTTTAAGGCAATAATAATAATGAATTTTTTTGATGCATGCAATTTGCAATGAATTCACCTATAACAACAGGTCAGTAAATTATAAGCAGGATACAAAAGATGCCCAAGATGGATTCTGCCCTTAGGCAAATTGCAGTTTCCTTGGAAGCAGACTTGCCAAGAATAAAACAAAGCACAAACAACAATTGGCAGGAATAACATGCTCAGATGAAATGCTTTGGGTTATAGATGTGTTGCAGGTGCAACTGTCACGTGAGTTAGAGAGGCAAGGATTTTGTGGCAAAGGCAGGAATTAGTCTGCGTATTAGACAATCATGTAAAGAAGGGCAGTGGTAGAGTTTGGTGTAGTGATGGTGGAAGAACTATGTGAGCAGGTATGGAGGTATGAAGGTAATGAGAAGCCAGACTGATGGGCAGAGTGAGAGGCTGTGGGAGTCAGGACCAGCCCAGAAGTGTTGACTGTCTTGCAATTTGGTCAGTAGTTCAAGAATTTACTCTCCACTGGGTGGGTCATTTTAGTTGCAGAGAGAATGTCTACTGAGGTCAGGTTTAGTTAGGATTCTCCCAAAATTGGAGACAGAATTAAATGCTTACAGCCAGTCTCTGGACTAGTGAATTGATGTCCATTATCTCTTTTGACTCTCACAACACTGTTTTACATGTGAAGAAACAAGAAGCTTAGAGAAGTTGTAAGTTACAAAGCCTTCGAGTGATGGAGCTGAAACTCCAACTCAGAGAGCCCATTCCAGATGCCACACTCGTCACTGTGTCCCTCTCCTGTTTCTTCCCATCTGTGATCTGAGTTGCCCATGCTCCAGGCTCCTGAGATAGGAATTATCATGGGGACTCTTACCTAGCTCCCAAATACACAGAACAAGAAGCTCTGCCCCAGGTGTTAACTCACTCACTTCTCAAAGAAAGTTTGCGGTTTCTTATCCACACTAATAGTATCACTACCATGACAGCAACCAGGTGCAGAGCAGTTACAATGGCTGGGACATGCTGCCTGTTCAGGGTGTGTTAGTGTCTTACCCAGGGTCACACAGCAAGTGGCAGAGGAGGGGACAACAAGGGGCTGTGTGGACCTAGGGATGCAGACGTGGGGCCAAGCAAGTGATAGTGATCACACAAGTAACCTGGGCTTTCCTGATTTCTCAGGTAGAAATTGTGATGTCCCTGCTTGGAATGTTTTGTCCCCCTTTGTTTGAAACCATTGCTGCCCTGGAGAATTATCACCCACGCATTGGACTCAAGTGGCAGCTGGGACGCATCTTTGCACTCTTTCTGGGAAACCTCTACACATTTCTCTTGGCCCTGATGGATGATGTCCACCTCAAGGTAAAGACCACAAGGCCACCCCAGCCCCTGGTGTTCCCCATATATCGTTTTCTAAATATAGCAATTTCCTTAGGCGTAATTCTTCTTAATTAAATACATTTTAGAAAGTTCAGAAAGATAAAATGAAGGAAAAAAATCCCTAGAATCCTATACCCCAGAGACAGCCATTGTTAACATTTTGCTGCAATTCTTGATTATCTTTTTTTTAAGTTGTCTTTTCTCACATCATGTACATGTTACTGGGTATCCATATTTTATCTGCATCCTTTCCTGTCTGGTTTCATAGCTGCCATAAATATGTACCAGCTGAGGAAGTGTCCACTGAGACAATGCATCGTGGTTGACTTAATATTTTGCCACCATTTAAGGTGGTTGTGGAGCTCCCACAATGTGTGGCCCTGGGGTGTAGCAGAGAGCAAGACACAGTCCTGTTCCCAGGGTATATGCACTGTGGGCAGGGAGAGCACTCGTGCTACAATGGGGGCAGCATGGAGGTGCATAGGGGGCTCCAGAGCCCCCTGCAAAATCTTAGCAGACCCTGGAGAAAGCGAGGGAACCGCTGCTGCAAGAAGGGAGCTGGGTGGCTGACCACTACAGCGCAGGGAAAGAAGTGGAAATGAAACCAGGAAGAACCTCAGCAGGATGCCCCTCTTCCCCGGCCCCAGCCCCCCCCCCCCACCCAAGTGAGCTGCATGAACTGTTTCCTGAGGTTAACAGGAGGCCATCAGAAGGTTCTAAGCATGGCGGTGACTGGAGCTGGCTCTTGCCTACCTCCCCACCTCCCCCTCTGGCTTCCCTCTGACTCCAGTCACTGTTCCAGCCTCCTGGGCCTCACATTTTCCCCAAGGGGCAAAATGCTCCCTTGCCTCCCTCTCACCCTTCTCCTCAGGTTTAACCAGTTGACTCAACCTCCCTGAGGCCTTGGCTTCTATGGCGCTGCCTCCAGGAATGCTTTGTGGCCCCCATCGTCTGAGGCGGCTGTTCTCAGGTTCCCGGAGAAAACTCCCTACAGCTCTGATCATTCTGGTCTGTAATTCTGTCTGTTCATTTTTGTCACTTGCTAGACTATGAACTTTCTGAGGGAAGCCCCGTCTCTTTTTCAGTATGACCCTCACTTTATATGCCCAGAATAGATCCTGAATAAATATTCTCAAGAGAAGAATGCTCCCCCCCCCCCCCCCCCCGCATAGGATAAAGAGTGAGGAAGACATTTCTGGACAGACTGTGTTGCAGGGCAGGGCAGAGGCTAGGGGGTAAGGATGTGGCTTATGCTGACTAACTGTTTCTGTGCAAATAGCTGAACTGTCCCGGCTCCTTCCAATCCCACATGCCCGTCTTCCATTCTAGCTGTCAAACGAAGAGACCATAAGAAACATCACTCACTGGACTCTGTTTAACTATTACAACTCCTCGGGTTGGAACGAGAGTGTCCCCCGGCCACCCCTGCACCCGGCAGATGTGCCCCGGGGTTCTTGCTGGGAGACAGCCGTGGGCATTGTGAGTAGTTTCCGTCTCCTGCAAAGGTGATCCCTGTTCTCAGCTCTTTATCATTCCTTCCTAGATGTTTTCATTTTTAAACCACCAAAATATCATGCTAAAATTTCTTTTAAAACTTCCACCTTTTATTTTTTTCAGTGTCCCACATATTTCTCTCTATGCCCTGTATATCAACCTAATACCACCAGGTGTAGAGTTTTACTGCAGATGTCACTGGAAATCATGAGTGAACATTCCAGAAAATGGGATGCAGAATTTTGTAGATATATGCATGTAGGAGGCAGGAATGACACAGTGCAGGTTTTCTGATCCCATGCAGACGGGGTAAAGGAGGAATCAGAGTCCTCAGTGGTTTTTTGCAGGTTTTTATTGGATTACCAGGTACACAGCAGGCAGGGGTGCTGGGGGGCCGGGAGGCTGGCCGTCCTCCCAGCCCCCAGCAAATCCTCCCTCTCTCTGGGCTTTCTGGCGTTCTCTGCTTCTGCTTCTTTGCTTCTCTCTTGGCTTCTCTTCGGCTTCTGCTGGCGTCCCCGTGACGCCGCCCTTAAAAGCCCAGTCTTAGCCCAGGTGAATCCCACCTACCTATGCCCACACCCTACTCCAGGTGCCCGCCTGCATGTATTCAGGACCTCAAGGATCCATCATCTATCCTGATGGTGGGAGGGCAGAAAAACCTGACATTTTCTTTACCCTACAATGCATCTGTGTATTTTTTAATAAAGATAATGATTGGTTTTCATTAGAATCTCAAAAAGAAAACTACCACCTCCCCTTACCCACTCTCACCACCATTTCTGCAGCTTCTACAGTGTGGCTCGGTGCCCAGGGCCCTTTGCTGCCCTAGACAGACACGGGCAATATTCACGGACAGCACAAGGGTCAGCTTCCCTCTTTTGCCCCACTGCATCTCTTTGCATAGGGTTTAGATTCACCTGCAGCTCCGCTGATGTGCTGTGCTTATTAGCTCTCCCTGGGTTCCCTGAAGAATCCACTCAGCTGGAACGTTAGACAATGGTGTTTTTAGTTGAGGAAGATGAGTACCACAGAGGAAGGGCCCCACTTCCTTCATGAAGGGCTCAGACTGCCCCAAACCTGCTTCTTCCATGCTCTCCAAATCTTCCTTGATTTGACGTGCGGGGCAACTGGGCTTTCCCAGCTCCTGGGGAACTCGTCACAGTGAGTAACAGAGTCTTTAAGTCACTAAATGCCCCCCCTTTAGCAGGTGGAAGAGAGTCTGTGAGCTCTAGGATTCTCTTGGTGTATTCTGCTATGGGCTTTCTCATTGCCCACTAGAATCCTTGGCAGACATTTCTCTTGCCCTCCTCCCTGAGTGCCCATCACTGTTCCTATCACTGGTGAAAGCTTGTTTCTTTCTGGGCTTGAAAATAATGAGGGGTTTGAGGTGTTATGTCCTGCTCACTCATCACCCCCTTGAGCTCCACCCGCAGTCCCAGAGAATCACTTTGCAGAGTGGAGAGCTGTCGGTTTGTCCACTGCTTAGGAGCATTGACATGAATTCTTATTGAGGAATAACTATGAAAACTCACCAGCTGTTCATCCAGCAAACATTTATTAATCATCTTGGAGGACAGAAAAATGAACAACGCAATCTCTCTGAACTTTGGAAGCTCCAAGTCTATGAGGTGTCTTAAAGATTGTGATGTCTGACAGGTCTTCTCACATTTTCAAGAAAAATAAAGAAATGAGGTATACTCTAAAAAGCAAAGAAAGCTTTCCTTTGGGCTCTTGTGCTGTGTACCTCAATGGAAATGCTGCTTTATTTTCTCTATATACCAAGGAAAAAGTTCAAGTAGCAGAAGATAACTGCTGTCCCCAGTGATGATGGTCATAGCTAGGAAGCTGGCACTTTGAGAAGTTGCAGGAAGGAAAGGTGAGCCCAGATCCGGGATCTGAGCAATAGACCCGATAACCCAGCACTGGGCATTCCGATGTGCTGGACAATTTGCATACATGAGCATTAAGCTTCCCAATTACCCTGCAGAGTTAACATCATTATCAGTTTCGACAAGTTCAGAGATGATTCCAAAGCCCTACAATTAGTGATGTGTAGAGTTGAGATCTAATGAAGCATTTTCCAAAGCCCAGGGCTCTTTCTCTGCACAACCATCCTGCCACCAAGAATCAGGGGGTCACAGAGAAGAATTGTAGTGGGGAGGGATATTTGCGTGACTGCAGGCAGTCGGGAGATGTGGACAGAGTCAGAGCCTGACCCCTCTCTTTTCCTGTGTTCCTCCTGGCAGGAATTCATGAGGCTGACTGTGTCTGACATGCTGGTTACGTATATCACCATCCTGCTGGGGGACTTCCTGCGGGCATGTTTTGTCCGGTTCATGAACTACTGCTGGTGCTGGGACCTGGAGGCTGGATTTGTAGGTCACCGCTTGGTGGGCATTGCACGGAAAGGCATTTCAACCATCCTTTTTGATATAGTCAGATGCCTTCCTGTGCATTTCTTTATTTTTTAAAAGATTTATTTATTTATGCATACAAGAGCTGGGGTACAGGCCAGAAGTGGGGGGTGGGGTGTTAGTGAGAGGATTCACCAGAGACAAAGTGGGGAACAGAATGGGCAGATTGACTGAAACACACTGCTGAGGGGAGCAGCAGGCGAGTCAGAAGTCTGCTGCACCATGTGGGTTGCTCCCCAGCTGGCCAAGAATCAAACTCATGCTGCAGTGGATGCGGATGGCTTCATAGGTTGCATCTTAAACCCTGTGCCACCAGGGAGGCCCCTGTGCATTTCTTTAGATGCTTAATGCCCGTCTCTGCCCTGTGAAGTAGTAACCCATCAGTGTTTCCTTTAACTGTCCTATTTGCCTTCTAGAGAAAATTCTGCCTTTTTCCAATGTAACTAACAAGGCAACCTTCTTTTCTGGTAAATGGAAGTGTTTGGTCTTGGGAATCGTGGACCACACAATTCAGTGTGTAGATGGTGGGTAGAACAATGCCACAGCAACATCAGCTCTCATTAGGGAAAGCAAAGACTACGAGTCTTTGAGGTCCATGCTGTGCAAGCCACAGGAGCCACGTAAAAATGGACAAAGAAACATGGTAGTTCTTAATTTTTTAGACATTAATGAATCCTGGGTGGGGGAGAGCAGATGTGGATGTGAAAGTTTCAGTAAGTGCTGGAGCACACCAGCAGCACAAAACCACAGTCCTGTCTTCTGGATTCTGCTTTGAGAAACTTCTTCACTCCTATTTCCTCCACCTAGGATACGCCTCTTCCTCACCTCCCTGCTAAAATGCTTGTCCTGAATGGTGTCATTTCCTCTCCATGGTGACCTTCTATCACTTGGCAGAAACGTTGGCCTCATCTGTCCCATGTGTATTTCTACCATACATGATGCAACCACCCAATATTCATTGGTGTTTGGGGAGGGTCTCCCCCTTTACTATAAGTCTTGTTCCCCTGTGTGGTCCTTACCCTGGCCAGCTGCAGGCGATGTGGCCCAGGCAGAACCCCAGTACATATTGCTGTCCTTTTATTTTTCTTTTAGTCACTACACAGTTTTACACAAGCCTCCTCAACTCATCTTAGCAGCAAGGGAAACTTCAGCCTTGAAAGGTTGAAACCACACTTTTTTTTTTTAATTTAAAAAAGTTGCAAATTTAAGAACTTCAAACCTTTTTATTAAAAGCTGAAAACATGCTAAAGAAACAGAATCTAAATCTAAAGCTCCTCTCTGGCCCCTGGAGCAGGCTTCTTAGAACAGGGTGGGCCTGGCTTGGTCAGTGAGAGGAGGGCTCTGCTGTCACACCACCTAACACATGTCTCCTCCTCCCTCCCTCTCGCTCTTTCTCCTCCCCCTACCTCCCCCCACCCCGCCCGCCCATCCCCAGCCCTCATACGCAGAGTTTGATATTAGTGGAAATGTCCTTGGCTTGATCTTCAACCAAGGAATGATCTGGTGAGTTATCTATTTTGTCTGGAATCCCAGGCTTTGCCTGTCAAGTGTCTGGGGGAAAGCTGGACAATCATCTGACCTCTCTGAGCTCCTTCTATCCCATGAAAAATAGAAGGCAGGGCGAGATAAGAGGTGGGGCAGAGCCTGCCATGAACTCAGAGGAAGAGAGGACCAAAAGGAGGGAGGAAGAAAGAAGAGCGGGAAACAATGGAGGAGAAAGAAAGGGCCAGGGAAGGAAGGGGGGCCGGAAAGGAAAGAGAAAGAAGGAGGCGTGGAGGATGCTAAGTGAAAGAAGACAGGAGTTAGAGGAGGCTGCATCGCCGCAGGCAAAGGCTTTCAAGATGCCGAGCAGGACGCCATGGAAGCCATTGTCCGATTCTCTTAATTCAAGGACTTCAAATACTTTTCTGAGCAGCATTACTGTCTTCTGGAGAACACTGAGAAACAGGCAGGAGGCCACGTAATTTGCTTAGAAGCCTGATGGTGAGGCAGTGGTAAAAGCCTGGCCAGAATCTAAGGCACTATTGCTCAGAGAGGATGATTATGGCTGGGTGATAAACATCCGGGTTCGCTGGAGGCCCCTTTCCTTGGGGTCCGCATAGAAGGCAGCTGGACCTCAAGCCCCTAACCCATCAGCCCCCTTTCCTTCTGTCATACTGTCTCTGGCTTCTCCTGCCTTGGGCCAGCCACACATGTGGTTTCTGTCCTCCCAGGATGGGCTCGTTCTACGCCCCAGGACTCGTGGGCATCAACGTGCTGCGCCTGCTGACCTCCATGTACTTCCAGTGCTGGGCAGTGATGAGCAGCAACGTCCCCCATGAGCGTGTGTTCAAAGCCTCCCGCTCCAACAACTTCTACATGGGCCTCCTGCTGCTGGTCCTCTTCCTCAGCCTGCTGCCGGTGGCCTACACTATCATGTCCCTCCCACCCTCCTTTGACTGCGGGCCATTCAGGTGCACAGTCTTGGTCTTGTGGAGAAGGTTTTTTTGTGGGGCTGTCTGCTCAGAGAGCACAGGTTTGGGATGTTTGGGATTGGGGTCTGATGTCATTTGATCTACAAAAGGCTGTAGAGCTTTGGGCAAATCATTAGCACTGTTCAGTGGAGTTTCCTGTGAGGACAGAAATGTCCTGTGCTGTGCTATCCAATATGGTAGCCACCAGCCATGTGGTTGTTAAGCATCCAATATGGTAGCTACCAGATCAAGAGTCTGTTGAGTACGTGAAATAAGAACTGTGAAACTGGTCCTCCCTGGTGGTGCAGGCGGTTGAGCGCAGCACTGTGAAGCTGTTCAGAGCCTCTGTAGTGTGGGTTCGATCCCAGCCAGCCGGCAAGAATCCCACATGGTGCAGCAGGCCTCTCCTGTCTCACCTGCTGCTCCCCTCAGCAGTGTGTTTCGTCAGTCTGCCTGTTCTGTTCCCCATTCTGTCTCTGGTGAATCTTCTCACCCTTCTGTGCATCTGGCCTGTACCCCAGCTCTTGTATAAATAAAATAAATCTAAAAAAGAAAGAGAAAAAGAATTGTGAAAGCAAATATTGTAAAAAGAAAGCAAATATTGTAAAAAAAAATTTAAAAAGAATTATGAAATTGCATTTCTAATTTTATTTATTTTAATTAATTTTAATTTTAATAACCACAAGTGGTTAATGGCTACCATATTGGACAGCACACCTTTTACATATGAATAGTCTACAGCCCTGTGTAGGTGAGTAATGGGGGGGAGGTAATCTGAAGATGAAATGACCGTAGGTGATTATCCAGTGCCATTTGGATATAAAACAGCTACTGAGACTCTTGACTACAGCCCCATACTCTACAGGGCATTTGCCAGCACTGGGGTTCAGGGTATAAGCAGAACAGTTCAGGAGACTGGACATTGCAGAGAGATAAGTAGTTATGTCAGGGGGTACACTAAGGAACTCTGCATCTACTACTCTTTCCAAATGCAAGACCCTCTGAAAACAAAGCCCTCCACTTACTCTGTAAAAAGAGGTTCTGTGATTAAGGCAGTTTGGAACCTGCTGCCCCTCGTATCTGCCCTTCTCACTTTAAAATGCTTGATGCACACTCCTTTATGAACGGCTTGGAAGAACTGTGTAATAAGAGGTCATAAGTGAGCACGTATTCCCTGCCTTAGTGACCACACACCTTCTCAGTGTGTAACATCCATCCAGACCAGGGATTGGGTGAGGCGATTAAGCACTTGCCCGACCCTGAGAGCAAGCACTTCCTTCAACAGTGCACTCCGGGGAAAGCACTCACCTTGCTCCAGGGTAGCCCTGCCGACCAGTGCAGTCGGTCCACTCTGGGAAATGTGCATCTGGTACTTCACCATTTACAGGAGACTTAGGAAGTGAAAGCCCTGAGGTTTAATCAGGGCAAATGCCTTGGGAGCTAGGGGAGACGCTAGCAAGAATGCACAGGGCAGAGTGTTACCTGGTGAACAGGGTTCTGACAGAGGGAAAAGAGTGGAGGCTAGATTCAGCATGGAAGATGCAGGACCCCAGGCTGAAGGGAAAACCACATGGTAGAAGTGGTGGAAGCCCCTTTGGGCTTCTTCCTTAGTGAGGATTGAGGCTAGGCTCTCGTGCCAATGCCTGTGCCCCTCTGTTCTGGCTGCTCACCTGTCCTCAGGCAGGTCAATGAGTCACCCAGGCCCGGCCTGGCCCACCCTTGCTCCATCCACCCCTGAGAGGCCCTGGCAGCCGACCCCCAGATGGCAGGGGAGGTGGTCTTGACTCAACATTTACCTTCCCGTGAGGTCTTCCCTGGAAACCCTAACTAAAACGTCGCACACTCAGACACACACATGTACACGCAGTATTATTGTTTCTGCTTGTTCTACCTGTCACCACCCAGCACACCATTCCTTTGGCTTACTTATCTTGTTTGTTGTCTGTCTCCTCCACCAAGACACAAGCTTGCTGATACGGTTTTTGCTTCCTTTTTTCCTGCTTTATACCCAGAGTCTAGAAGAGAACACCTGGTTTACGGTGGGTGCTCAGATCAGATCTTTCATCTCACAGAAACTGACATGTACAGGGAGGGAACTCAGGGTTTGGCCCAGATCAGGTGCCTGCAGGGGCCAGGCAGGCAGCACAATTGAGGGGGACAGCACAGCACAGCAGACAGCATCCCCTCCCAGGACTGCGGTTTTGCTTTCCACAGTTTTAGTTCCCCGTGGTCAGCCACGGTTTCAAAATATTACATATAATTGGTCACATTCCCATAAAATATTACATATAATTGGTCACATTCCCATAAAATATTACATATAATTGGTCACATTCCCATAACTTTTATCACAGTATATTGTAGATTGCAAGCAAGATAATTGTTCATCTCTTATTGTGCCTAATTGTTAAATTAAACTTTATCATAGATATGTATGCATAGGAAAATCATAGTGTATGTGGGGCTCAATACTATCCCCAGCTTCAGGCATCCACGGGGGGTCTCGGAACATATGTCTGGGGGTGGTGGGGGGGAGGGTTGGACCATACAGTTAAAAGTTGGGGTCGGTAAATTATGCCCATGGACCAAATCCAGACCACCACCTTTTTTTGTAATTAAAGTTTTATTGGAAGACGGTCATGCCCATTTACTTACATATAATCTATGGCTGCTTTCTAGCCACAGTAGCAGAATTGCGTAGTACCCAACAGAGACCATCTGGCCCACAAAGTCTAAAATATTTATTATCTGTCCCTTTTCAGATAAAATTGGCCAGCCCCCTGATTTAGAGCACTGACTCTAGAGACAGCTGTCGTTTGCCAGCTGGGTCACCCTGGGCAAATTACTTCATTTCCTGTGTACAGTGTAGGTTGTTGCCTACATGGGATGGAAATAGCATAGAGCCCCAAGATGGATCGTACCAGAGTCTCGTCTGTATCTGATTTAGATGGTGAGATTTGGGACTTTCAGTTGATGCTGCAGTGGGTTGAGAATCTCGGGAGTGGGGATGAAGGTATTTTACAGGTGAGATGAATGTGAATCCTTGGGAACCGGAGAGCAGGCTGTGGTATGCTGAATAATGGCTCCCCAGGCTACCCGGATCCTGACTCCTGGAACCTATGGATGTTAATTACATAGCAGAAAGGTCTCCACCAATGTGATTCAGTTCAGATCTTGAGATGGGGAGATTATCCTGTGATTAGGGCTCTAAATCCCAAGTGAATTTGTAAGAGGGAGCCAGAGGGAGATCTGACTATAAAAGAACAGAAAGTGATGTAACCATGGAAGCGGGGAGAGATTTGAAGATTCTATGCTGCTGGTTTTGAGGAGGGAGGGAGGAGCTGTGAGCCCAACAATACAAGGAAAGTAGTTCTAAAAATTCAAGAAAATGCAGGGGAAGAGATTCTCTGCTAGATTCTCTCCCTCTGAAGGGAGCGCGGCCCTGCTAACATCTTGGGTTCAACCCAGTGAAACCATTTCAGACTTTTTGCCTCCAATGAGGTGAAAGTAAATTTGTACAGTTTTAAGCCACCAATGTGGTCATTTGTTACAGCAGGCACTGGAAACTGAAACGTCATCTAATACTTCAGTCACAAAATGCTCCACACACCGCTGTGACTTAAAAGCATAACAAAGTTCACCTTTCTTTACTTGTTTTTACGTGATGGGACCACACAGATCATTTTTAAAATAAATTAAATGCCACAATACATTATATGCATGGCAGCTGGAATGCTGTTGTGCTGTGACTGTCATTGCCACATGCCGCATGGCTGCACTGAGCTTGCCATGACCACAGTGGTCTCTGACACAACTGCTCATCTCTGCCTGAAAGTATGGAATCAACCATGGACAGTGCAGAAGTAAATGAGCGTGGTCATGTTCCTGTAAAGCTTCATGGACACGAGTTGGAATTTCATACTTCAATGTGTATGTGCCACAAAGTATTGCTTTTCTTTTGATATTTTCCACCCATTTAAAAATGTAAAAGTCGGACTTCCCCGGTGGCACAGCGGATTGAGTAGCTCTGTGAAGCTATCCGCAGCCTCTGCAGCGCAGGTTCGGTTCCTGGAGGGACAGGGAGATACCCGCATGGTGCAGCAGATCTCTCCTGTCTCGCCTGCTGCTCCACTCAGCAGTGTTTTCGGTCTGTCTGCCTGTTCTGCTCCCTGCTCTGTCTCTGGTGAATTCTCTAACCCTCCTGTACCTCTGGCCTATACCCCAGTTTTTGTATAAATAAATAATTTTAAAAAAAAAAGATAAATTAAAAAAATAAAAAATAAAATGTAAAAGTCATTCTTAGCTCACAAACCATGTGAAAACAAGTAGCAAGTCAAATCTGGCCTCGGGCCATGCAGCTCCCAGCTGCAACATTTTGGGAAGCGCTTATCATTTGATAGCCCCCATGCAATGTTTTACATGAACTCACGTCTGTGTCTCAAAACATCTTCTAAAGCAAATGTTAGTATTATTCCTATAATACTATATTGCTCTATATTATTATTATACTATATTTTACAGGTGTGGGGAATCGGGCAGAGAAATTTTTAGTATCTGGCACAGAGGTATCAAAACTCTGCAGCCCAATTGAACTTTCCATATGACTTTAAAAAACTCTGTATTTGCCCTTCAAGTACAGTAACTACTCATCCCATGACTAGTGAGCACTTGAAATATGTGGCAAAGAAATTGAATTTTTAATTTTATTTAATTTTTATTTTATTTCTTTTTTTTAAAGATTTATTTATTTTTATACAAGAGCTGGGGTACAGGCCAGAGGCGTGGGAGGGTGAGAGGATTCACCAGAGACAGAGTGGGGAACAGAACAGGCAGATGACAGAAATACACTGCTGAGGGGAGCAGCAGGCGCGACAGGAGAGGACTGCCTCACCATGTGGGATTCTCGCCGGCCGGCCGGCCGGGATCAAACCCGCACTGCAGAGGCTGCAGACAGCTTCACAGCACAGAGCTCAACCTGCTGTGCCACCGGGGAGGCCCATAATTTTTATTTTATTTCTAACGCTACATTGTGCAATGCAGTGCTGGTAGGGAGAGGGATGGGATGAATACAGGTAGAAAAAGAACAGGTAAATTGTTCATGGTGTCCCACAGCTAATAAATGGAGAAGCAAGTGTTTGAAGCAGGAATTTCAAACCCCAGAGGCCACGTCTGGGCACCAAAACTGTTAAGCAAAAGGTAGCAACAGCCAGTAGTTTGTGGGCTTCTGTGGAAGTCAGCCTGTATGATGGTATCCAAAGAAAATCAAAGTCACTCTTGTGAACTGTCCGGGAGCCTGTCGTAGGCCATCCAGTTTCCTGGAATTAGAATCTGAAGACTAAGTGGAGTATTTTGAGGGGCACCCTGAGGTTGTCCATCCCATCAACTCTTTCTCTGGCGGGGACAAGCCCCATGTTGTTCTTATAGCCACACCCAACAGTTTCCTTCCAAGACCCTATAGGAGAAAGCCCAGTTCCCTCTTGCTAAGGAAGATGCCAGGCACAAGAGACCAGTGTAGTGAAGGCCATGAAACTGGCCAGCCAGGCTGCTGACCCACCTATCAGGCCTGGCCAAAGTGGCAGCCCCTCGCGGGGCAGATTTTACTGGCACTCGATTTGGAACAGAGCTTGGGGCTTCCAGGAAAGCAGTGTCAGGTGACAGCTTTAGAGCATTGTGTGTGCCACATGAGCTTCAGTCTGTGGTAACCTGTCCCCTCCTCTTTCCAGTGGGAAAAACAGAATGTATGACGTCATCTATGAGACCATTGAAAATGATTTCCCGACCTTCCTGGGCAAGATCTTTGCTTTCCTCGCCAACCCAGGCCTGATCATTCCAGCCATCCTGCTGATGTTGTGAGTTAGCTGGGGACGGCACTAGCTTCTCTTGGCACTTGGAGACTATGGAGCTTTGGCTTCCAGTGTGGTCTCCAAGGAGTGCTGACAGATCGGGTGACCTTGGGGAAATCACTTAACCTATCTGAAGTCCAGGATACCGATCTGTAAGGCAGGTGCCCAGGAAGCAGCAGCTGCTTCTGTAGCCTGGAGGCCCTGCCACGCCCCCTCCCTCTGATTTCCCATAGAGGCTGGTTCTGTTAGACAAGCTTTGCTAAGCACTCAGAGCTAGAAATGAGTCCATCATTTCCAAGTCCAGTATAATACAGAGAGAACAGGGATATCCAGGGCCTTCTCCCATGAAGTAGGGACCCCTTCCCACCCCACCTGCCCACAGGCAAACCCTCGATGCCTCTCCAAGCAGCCTCCCTTGATGCCTGGGGAAACCCTTCAGCCCTTGTCATTTTCCGAAGTCCTGGTCCATAGGGTCCCCTTTTCTCTTGCAGCCTGGCCATCTACTACCTGAACTCAGTTTCCAAAAGCCTCTCCCGAGCTAATGCACAGCTGAGAAAGAAAATCCAAGCGGTGAGTCAGTTTGTCAAGAGTTTCACTCTAGAGGGTAAAAGGATGTCCTGGTTTTTTTGTTAGCTAATCTGCTCTGTGAACACCATTGTACTCTTTAATGGCTTTGTCTTCTAAACCAAATCCAAAAAGACCTGTATTACAGGAAGCAGCCTTGCATTTATATTCTCAGGGTATTTGCAGGTACCTAACAATAATGGCTTAAATGTTGAGGGATTTGCCAAAGAACAGGAGACATTCAAAGGATTCTCCCATGTTCAGACATAATAAAGCCAGCACCCACAATAAGCCCTATAGATTAAAACTAATACTAAAATACTAAAAGAAAATAGTGTTGTCAAAACAACATATTGCTAGTGCTCCATGGCCGAAGAAGTTTTCTAAGTCCCCCTCGCACACAGCAGCCTCTCTCAACATCAGCTGGTCCCCTGATTTCTGACTGCTCTCTCCCACCCCCACCTCACTTGAGATACGGGGCAGACCCTATCCCTCTCCAAGCCCTGTCTTTCTTGCATCCTCACCCCTTCTTCGGGAACTAATCTCATCTGCCTCACTGACAGATCCCACTGGCATGTCCTCTGTTACTCTCCCTGAGCTCCTCCCCAGATCACAAAAAGCATTAGAACAGAGGAGTATACGGTTTCTATCTCCACTGGCCAGAGGAACTTTAAAATGCTGTGCAAAGCTGAGACTTGGATTGCCCACTCTGATCAGTCAGGAGGACAAAAACAGGGTATTTAAGGTAATTGCCAAGAACCTGACCATTCCTGGCTGTGAGACTCACCCGTTTCCCTCACCCAGGCCAACAGTTCATTTTTTACTACAGCTCCATGAAGATGAGAAGAACCACAAATCTGTCAAAGGCAGAGCCACAGGCAGAGATTCCAAGGACACAAGTAAAGGCAGCTCAAAAAATGTCACCCAGCTCCAACTCACCAAAGAAGGTAAATCCAATTCCGTGGTTACTTTTTACAAGGTGATACAGAGAAGCATAAACAGGGCATGTCATGAAATCACATGGCTCTTCAGAGGCAGAATGGGAGTCAGAATGCTGACCTTTCTCAGCTATGGGAAGTGGGACATGTTAAAAAAAGAATAAATCAGGCACCAACCCATGGTGCTGATCTGCTGATCAAAGGCCGAGCCAAGGTGCCCCTAGATGTGCACAAGTGACCTGACCTCGTCACATCACCAAATGAGACTGGAGCAAAATCCTCCGTTCTCATTCTTATCTTGGTTCCTTTTCCAGGGGCCACACCTCACTCTGCCAACCAAAGCCAGACCCTGGACAAGAAAGCACCGAGCCCTGGGACCTCGAGTTCTGTTGGCGGCATGGCACTGCGGGTCTCCCAGCACTTCCCTGTATCTCGGGCCCCTGGTGTCAGTCCAGATTCTGGTCAAGCCCAGCCTCAGTCTCAACCCTGGAGGTCAGGCTCTGGAAAAAATGCTCAGAGAACTCCCCACTGACAGCTGGACTCACAGGAGCCCCATCCTGGGGCTGATAGCATCACAGATTGACACCCTCAAATTGTGGTTTTCCTTTCCTCATTCTCTCTCTCTCTCTCTCTCTCTCTCTCTCTCACACACACACACACACACACACACACACACACGTTCTCTCTGCTCTCATTTTTTGTGGAAACTGACTACGTGGTCTCAGGCCCTTGCTGGCTACCGAAAAGGGAGGACAGTGGCTTCATTTGCCCTTTAGGAGAGCTGGGTTCCCTCCCACTCGCCACCCTTCCCAGTCTCTTGGATCAGGCAGCTCTGGACCTTGAACTCAGAGTGGTTTCCCTTGACTCCATATTTTGGGGGCAGGGGAAGGCAGGGCCATGCCTTTTCACAGTGCCCATGTTGGGACCCAGGTTTTTGGCAGCTCCACCAACTGGGAGGCGGATGCAAGGGGCCCATGCCTCTGACCAGCACTTTACCCAAAGGAGGTGAGGCAGTTTAAATAAAAGATACAAGAAGCCTGTGAAAGTCAAGGTAAATGAACCAATGTCCAGCCACGGTGAGTGGGAGATGGCAACAGTCCAGAAGTCAGGCCGAGGGGAGCGGATACCTTTAGGCACCAAAAAAGTATTGGGGTCATCTAGCAGTAGGGGAGCTGACCCTCCCTGAGACCTTAATGCAGCTGCCCAGGCAATCTAACCAACCATCAGGACTGGAAGGCCCAAAGACGGCCACCAAGCTGCCACCTGGTCTTCAAAGTCATCCTGCCTGGGGACATGCCACCCCTGGGGAAGGGCCGGAGTCACCACTACCCCCTGCCCCCAGTACTGTCAGGTTTCTCAGGATCACCAATAAATGTAAACACCCACCACAAACACTACCTGTCCTCTTCTGTTGAAACATAATAATATATGAAGCAACAAATTATCCCCAAAACTGAACAACTTGAAACAATACATCTACTACATCGTACAGTGTCTTTGAGTCAGGAATCTGGGAGTGGCTTAGCTGGGCAGTTCTTGTTCTGGGCATTGTAGTCAAGATCTGAGGTGGGGCAGCTTGGGAGGCGCTTGGGTGGGGCTGTCATCTTGAATTGGGGAGAGGGCAGCGGCTCCTTGCTGAATATTTCCAGGAGAATTTGATTACTCCCAATGTGGACCTCTCCCTGGGGCTGCTGGGTGTCCTCCCAACACAGCCCGAAGGCAAGGAGGAAGCCACATACGTTTTAAGACCTAGTCTCAGGAGTTATACCATCCATCCATTCTATCACTTTCTTTTTTTTTTAAAACATTTTTGAGTGTGTTTTATTTTGTTTTTTTAAGATTGATTTTTTTTTAAAGATTTATTTATTTATTTATTTATTTATTTATTTATTTATTTATTTATACAAGCACTGGGTACAGTCAGAAGCGCGGGAGGGTGAGCGAATTCACCAGAGCCAGAGCGGTGAACAGAACAGGCAGACTGACGAAGAAATACACTGCTGAGGGGAGCAGCGGGCGGCAGGAGAGGTCTGTCATGCCATGTGGGACCCTCGCCGGCAGCCGGGGATTGAACCGGCGCTACAGAGGCTGCGGGCAGCTTCGCAGCCCAGTGCTCAACCACTGCGCCACCAGGGGAGGCCCTAAAGATTGATTGATTTATTTCTACAAGCACTGGGTACAGTCAGAAGCACGGGAGCATGAGAGAATTCACCAGAGCCAGAGCGGGGAGCAGAGCAGGCAGAAGGACCGAAGTACACTGCTGAGGGGAGCAGCGGGCGGCAGGAGAGGTCTGCGCGCCATGTGGGACCCTTCTCCCGTGGCTGGGGAACAGCCAGGGATCAAACCGGTGCTGCAGAGGCTGCGGGCAGCTTCGCAACCCAGAGCTCAATCGCTGCGCCACCAGGGGAGGTCCTATTCTATCACTTTCTATTCATTAGAACTGAGTCACTACATCAGAGTCACTATGTGGAGGGCAGGAAATTAGGCTTCATCTTTTGAAAGGAGGGGTATCAAAGAACTATTTGGACATAGTTTAATGGGAAATTTCCTAATTCAAATAGTTATAAGACTCGACCAAGAAAACTCTTAAAACTTTTTTGAGAATCTGGCAAAAGATTAGTTATTGGTGGCTCCCAGATCCTGTGCAGAGAATTTATTCTTCGATGCACCATTAGTTTGCAAAACGTGAAGACAGGCCCAAGTTCATAATTGGGGCAGATAAGGTGTGCAGAGCATATGGAAATCTCTATCATCTTACCCTGTCTAAACCCAACCTCCAAATTCTGTTGTGAAGATGCAGGTAAGACTAAGTGCCAAGCATTGTACTGAGTGCTCAATAAAATTGTGTGTGTGTGTGTGTGTACTAGCACAGGGATGGATACAATCAAACATTCTGGGGCTCAGGTTATGAACATAAATAGCAAAGGCATCGACTGAACAAAACTTGTATGCCATAATCCTAATGAACTTCGAGCTTCAGAAGCAACACCCAAAAGATAAGGGCAGTCTTTCTCAGATGCATTTCGGTCTTCAGTGTCTATGTAAAGAAGTGTTGCGTGCACATGTAGCTCACTGCCAAAGGCTGTCACAGGGCTTCTTTCCACATTTGAGAAGAGGGTTGAGTCTCCACTTCTACACGAGGTCTTCATTCATTACAGGACTGTGCAGTGCCGCCATCTTGTGGTGGTTTCTTGAAATCTCCTGTCCTGGAGCTCTCTCTAGTCCCCCAAATTTAAAGAGCACATTCAATTTCCACAGGTTCATTAACGTTGCCCTGAGTAAAACCTACTGGCTTAATTTACACCAAAATGACACAGTGCACCATGGGCAGAGCTAAATAAAAAAGGAATAGATGCTACAGTGTGTGATCCTTGCCACAGGCAAACAGTGTGAATCTGCTGAGAGAAAAGGCCCCACTGCAATTGGCTTTAAAGCCCGAGGCTGAAGCTCCTCCTCAGAACTGCTGCCCAGGGCGTCTTCTAATTTGGAACTCTTTGGGGAACCTGTCCTGCACATCACCTCCAAACTAATCTCCAATCAAACACTGCTTCATTGACAGAGTCTCATCAGATCCAAGCCACTCATCCATTTGCTTCCACTGAAGGCTTCTTATATTCTAGCTAGATCCTTCTGTCTTTTCTCCAGTTACTGACCAAGATGGACCTTACACCTCCAGCACGTCTTCTATTCTGGAAGTTGCTTCCACTCTTTCCACCCTCCATCTCTAAATGACCTACACATCCTTCTATGAATATCCAAAATCCCTCTACCAATGAAGCTGGTCCACATGGTCCTCAGGTCAGCCTCCCACACTAGGGCATTTCTGCATAGCATTATGTTCAGTCTCCCAGGAGTGTAACGTCTCTGAAGTCAGAGACCATGAGTTAGTATTGCCATTGTTTATTAGTCTCCCCGCTCTCTGCACAGCCTACTCCCCTCAGGGACATCCCTGCTCAAATATCACCTCTTCCTTGAGAGCCTCTATAAAACAGTGCAATATTCCTTAACAATCATCAACAGCTAAGGCACTATATATTTACCTGATTTTCTATCTGTCCCTAGGATGTAAACTCCATCATGGCAAATACCTGGTTTACTTAATATGGTATCCCCAGCACTTAGATACCTAGCATACAAGAGGCACACAAAAGCTTTTTTTTTAAGACTTATTTATTTATGCATACAAGAGCTGGGGCACAGGCCAAGGTGCGGGGGGTGAGAGGATTCACCAGAGACAGAGTGCGAAACAGAAAAGGCAGACTGGCTGAAATACACTATTGAGGGGAGCAGCAGGGGAGACAGGAGAGGTCTGCTGCGCCATGTGGGTAGCTTCTTGGCTAGGTTGGGGATAAAACTTGGGCTGCAGCAGCTACTGATTGCTTCATAATGCTGTGTTTAACCCCTTGCACCACCAGGGAGGCCCCAAGCTTTTTTTTTTTTTAGTGAATGGAATTGATTGATTTTATAGCTTCCTGAACAGCAAGCATTGACAACTGAATCCTCAACTGTAAAAGAAAATGTTGGATCATACAGTCTCTAAGTTGCCTTCCACTCAAAACTTAACCTCTGTTCTCAGTGACTCAAGAAAGAACAGTTGAACTGATATGCTTAATTTAGGTTCTGACATGAATATCTGTAGCTATGGTATCCTTTGTCTGCTCACTCCTCCAGTTACCCACTGATGCTCCAATCTTCATGTCTGTTAAGTATCTACAAATTAAAATTAGCCCCCTACACCTAATGCACATGCATGGTGCCAGCTGCCAAGGCCACACCAGCACTTACAGAATTGAGCTGAAGTTGGTAGAAGCTGTGAAGACACATCAGAACAATAAATCTGGGGTTAGTAGGCTCGACAGCTTGAGTCAGCCCAAAATTGTTTTGATCAATAGCATTTTGCCTCTTCCAAAACATAAATAATGTGCTTCCTAGTGCAAAATCAGATGTTACCAGGCAATGATGGGTGGCCGTGGGTTTTCAAAGAGAAAGAGAAAGAAATAATGCTTTAAAAGCAGCAATTGGAAGCAAGGAGGCAATTCATCAACTTTTATCATCGATGTAAACAAGGTGTGAGTCATAGAAGCAATCATAATAGAAACTAGAATAAATTTGGGATTGAATTATATTGCACATGAAAATTTGTAGCATATGGCTAAAGCAGTATTTACAGGAAATGCATGCTTAAGGAAAAAAAGTTTAATGAGCCAAAGAGCAATATTAAGAAGTAAAACAGAGAAAAGCAAAATAAGGTCAAATGAGTAAAAGGAAGGACATAATAAATACTCTCTTCAGTTGTACCTCATTTACTATTGAGTCATTGCATTTCTTTTAAATCTCAAAGTTTTTCACTCTACAAGTAGCACATCCGTTCATTTCTGCCCTGCTCCCCTGGCCATGGCACAGGTGACGCTGTGAGTCTAAAGATAAGGGCAGTGATCTTTTTCTATAGAGGGTCAGATAGTAAATATTTTGGACTTGTGGGCCATGTACAGCCTCTGTTGCATATTAATTTATTTACAACTCTTGAAAAAT